GGTTTTGTTTAAGAGGGGACTTTCTTTTGACCTTGCACGAATTTTAAACTCTTCACCAGGTGAAAACTTCGGGTTATAACATACATAAGGTTGGTTATTTCCAGGGTCACAAATGGAGTAGGTGGTCTGATTATAAGTACAAGTTCTTCAGCAAGTCCTTATACACTCATAACAAGTATGGTTCAATAGAGTCTTAGTTATCCTCTTCCCTGACCAGGTAGTATGTGTACAGTGGGGACACGTTTCTATAGGGGCTTCTTCTAACATGGTTAAGGTGGGTAACAACAGCAAAACAATGGACAGCATATTCATATCCAGCAAGGTCAGAAGAGGGCCTTGCCTGGGGGAGGAGGTTGGTCAGAACGACAGAACAGTAGAGAAACAGTTAGTATTACAAGGAAAACTACTAGTCTTAAGATTACTAACTACATTTACTTGCTTGACGTGTCCTCAAGCTTCGGCTGTGCATAGTCTAGTCGGCTTCCGGTATGTGACTAGAGCAGGGCTTGCTGTTTCTTTTTTTTTTTTTTTTGAGACGGAGTCTCACGCTGTTGCCCAGGCTGGAGTGCAGTGGCGCGATCTCGGCTCACTGCAAGCTCCGCCTCCCGGGTTCACGCCATTCTCCTGCCTCAGCCTCCTGAGTAGCTGGGACTACAGGCGCCCGCCACCGCGCCCGGCTAATTTTTGTATTTTTTTTTTAGTAGAGACGGGGTTTCACTGTGGTCTCCATCTCCTGACCTTGTGATCCGCCCGCCTCGGCCTCCCAAAGTGCTGGGATTACAGGCTTGAGCCACCGTGCCCGGCCACTTGCTGTTTCTTCAAGCTTCAGCCATGTGTAGACTGGTCAGCCTCAGAAAGTGACCAGAGCAGGGCTGTCATCCTCAGCAGCAGCTTGGTCTCGTCACAGGACCAGCCGAGTTGGATCATCTGGGTCTTGCTGGCCGGTCCACTTGTCCTGAGCTGCCGGTTTCGGCTGGCTGTGGTGGATCTAAGGCACAATTTGTCCACTCCCACTGCTGTTTAACTCACAGGAATTGTGCATGCTGGGTATGCAGTGGTAACATTAGACTCAGTAGTAGAGGCTCAGCCTCTGCCTACTGGAACATCAATCAATTAATTAATATTTTGGGACAGGGCCTGGCTGTATTGCCAAGGATGGAGTGCAGTGGCGTGATCTCCTCTAACTGCAGCCTCGACCTGCTGGGCTCCAGCAATCCTCCTACCTTGGCCTCCCGAGTAGCTGGGACCACAGCCGTGAGCCACCAATCCCAGCTACTTTTTCTTTTTGTTTTGTTTTGTTTTTTGTGGAAATGGGGTTTCACTATGTTTCCCAGGCCAGTCTCAAAATCCTGGGCTCAAAGGATCTGTCTGCGTAGGCCCCTCAAAGTACTAGGATTACAGGGATGAGCCACCGCACCTGGCCTACATAGTACTTTTTAAAAGGGACATCAAAGCGTGGTGGCTCACACCAGTAATCCCAGCACTTTGGGAGACTGAGGTGAGTGAGTCACCTAACGTCAGGAGTTCAAGACCAGCCTGGCCAACGTGGTGAAACCCGGTCTCTACTAAAAATATGAAAGTTAGCCAGGTATGGTGGTGTGCACCTGTAGTCACAGCTACTCAGGAGGCCGAGGCACGAGAATCACATGAACCTGGGAGGCAGAGGTTGCAGTGAGCCAAAATTGTGCCCCTGCACTGCAGCCTGGGTGGCAGAGTGAGTGTCCATCTCACAAAAACAAACAAAAAATAAAATAAAAAACAAAAAGAGACATCAAAAGTACTTGTGTTCTCATGTGTAATACGTTTACTTTATTTTCTTTCTGTTTCCTCTTCATTTCTTTCTTTTTTTTTTTTTTCCAATTTGAGTTTGAGATAAATCTTAGTTTTGTTTTTGTTTTTGTTTTTTGTTTTTGTTTTGGCAGAATCTCACTCAGTCACCCAGGCTGGAGTGCAGTGGCATGATCTCAGCTCACTGCAACCTCCGCCTCCTGGGTTCAAGCGATTCTTTTGCCTCAACCTCCCGAGTAGGCGGGACTACAGGCGTGCACCAACATGCCCAGCTAATTTTTGTACTTTTAGTAGACATGGGGTTTCACCATGTTGGCCATTGTCAGGCTGGCCTTGAACTCCTGACCTCAGGTGATCCGCCCACCTCGGCTTCCCAAAATGCTGGGATTACAGGCATGAGCAACCACGCCTAGCGGAGATAAATCTTAGTTTTCAGAATTTCTTTGTTAATACATAAGCAGTTCTGAAAGATGCCTTTGTTACATCCGATAATCAGCTGACATCATTTTTTTCTGTACGTGTATGTTTTCCGGTTATTTTCCCCTTGACCCCAGAATTTGTTAGAGTTTTTTTAAAAACAATTTCAAAATAGTTTCTTTTTGAAATCAGTTGCGTCCAGTTCAGATCGAGGTCTGCATGCTTTCTAGTCTTTATTATTTGTTGAAAACCTTTGGAACCTAATACAGAAGTTTGATTGTTTCCGTGTGTACCTGGTAATGATGTCAGTGACCTTTTATCTTAACATCAAAGTGTAGTTCAACCAGTTAGTCTGTTTTTCAGTTTTCTTTCCTTCTATCATTTGTTAAAATCTTGAGCTGTGAGCTATTAAGTGTATGTTTCCCTCAAGGCACCTCTGGTCCATTCTGGACTGATGTTGAAAGATGGGCTGGATTGGCATGAAACTCTGTTCCGAAAGCTCCCGTGTATTCTTTTTTTTTTTTTTTTTTTTTTTCTGAGATGGAGTTTCGCTCTTGTCGCCCAGACTGGAGTGCAATGGTGCAATCTCAGCTCACTGCAACCTCTGCCTCCCGGGTTCAAGCTATTATCCTGCCTCAGCCTCCCAGGTCGATGGGATTACAGGTGCCTGCCTCCACGGCTGGCTAATTTTTTGTATTTTTAGTAGAGATGGGTTTCACCATGTTGGGGAGGCTGGTTTCAAACTCCAGACCTCAGGTGATCCACCCACCTTGACCTCCCAAAGTGCTGGGATTGTGGGTGTGATCCATTGTGCCTGGCCACCCATGTATTCTTGTTTGAAAAAATTTGCTTATGTCTTACTTCTACAGCTGACCTTCTTTTCACCGTTTTCAAGGTCAATAGCTGTGTGTTCACACTTCTGCATTTTATAACTGTAAGTGTGATTTTCTTGTAAGGAAGAATTAAATGTCGGGAATCAATGGCATCAGGACCTTACAAAAGAAGTTTCTTTAGCCCAGGTGTGTGAAAGATGTTTCTCTAAGTTTCAAGGATAGGGTGATAAAGACCAACCCTCCCATTAGCCCTTCCAGGCCCCCATGTAAGAATTCAGACACACGTTTTCACTCATCTCAGACCTTCTCAGGGTAACATGGTGAAAATGTTCCCGCTCTGAGCCCAGTGAGCCTCCCTGCAACTTGGAAATGAGGGGCTAGACCAGAAAAGCTCAACCTGAGTGACCCTGGCCCCTGAAATGATTGGCAAAATAGAGTGTGTGTCTGGGTGTGGCTTTTCTTCTGGGAGAGGGGAGTGTCCAGTTGTAATTAGAATTTTAAATGGGATGCAGTACCCCAAAAATGAAAAAAAAAAAAGCAGAAGAATGGAAGAAACTGGTGTAGACTCAGACACAGAGACCATCTTCGGGGCCTTTCTCTGTATGAGGATATCACAGTGAAATCTAAAGCGGTCATGTCAGTCCGTGGCAGGGAACCCTCCACCAGCTTCCCGTGTTCCCCAGGACAAAAGCCCAGCTCCTCACTGTGGCTCCACAGCCCTGTGTCCAGGGCCCCTGCCAGTGTCCAGCCTCCTCCTGGGAGCTTGCCCTCATCTCCCGACTCCCTCTGCCCCGGTCACATTTGCTTTTCTCTTTTCCCAAACATCAAAACCCTTCCTGTCTCAGGTCGCTGTCCCTGCTCTTACCCTGTGTCCCTAAATGATCACAGCACTGTCCCTTTTTCTCCTCGTTCAGGTCTAGGCTCAGAGCTGTCTCCCACGCCTTCCCACCCCCATCTGAAGTTCCCTCTGCCCATCAGTATCACTTTACTCAGGTTTTATTATTTCTGCATCAATCATATCAGAAATGCTTTTTTTTCTTTTTTCTGTATAGTCTCGCTCCATCGCCCAGGCTATGAGTGCAGTCTCATGATCTTGGCTCACCGTGACCTCTGTCTCTGGGGTTCAAGTGATTCTTATGCCTCACCCTCCCAAGTAGCTGAGATTGCAGGTGTGTGCCACCACACCCAGCTAATTATTGTATTTTTATTTTTATTTTATTTTATTTTTGAGTCTCACACTGTCACCCAGGCTGGAGTGCAGTGGCATGATCTCGGCTCACTGCAACCACCACCTCCCGGGTTCAAGCGATTCTCCTGCCTCAGCCTCCTGAGTAGATGGGACAGACACCCACCAAGCCCAGTTACTGTTTATATTTTTAATAGAGACAGGGTTTCACCATGTTGGCCAGGCTGGTCTGGAACTCCTGACGTCAAGTAGTTAACCCACCTCGGCTTTCCAGAGTGCTAGTATTAGAAGCACGAGCCACCGCGCCTGGCCCAATTTTTTTATTTTTAGTAAAGACAGAGCTTCACCATGTTGGCCAGGCTGATCTCAAACTCCTGAGCTCAAGCGATCCTCCCACCTCAGCCTCTTAAGTAGCTGGGACCACAGACACACAGATGTGCGCTATCATGCCTGGCTAAGTTTTTGTATTTGTGGTACAGATGGGGTTTCACCACGTTGCCCAGGCCGGTCTCAAACTCCTGAGCTCAAGGGATCTACCCACCTTAGCCTCCTACAGTGCTGAGATGACAGGCATGAGTCACCTCACCCAGCCTCTGCATGGGATTTGGTCAGGTCTGGGTCTCTTCCCTGAAGGGGAGCTCATCCCAGCCCAGCTCCCCACTGCTGCAGCGTGTGTGGGGGCTCCTCAGGAGGGGAGCGGGAGTTTTCCTGTAGGAGTTTATCGTCCCTCGTGCGGTGGGCAGCAGAGGGTACCGTATTTCCTCAGGGTGAGGTCTCCTTTGTATGTGTGGTTGTGTTACAGGGATGGGGTGTGTTGATTCTGAGCAATAAACATCATATTTTTAACATTCAGGATTGACTTCTGAAGACTCTTGGTCCATGAGGAAGAAACCCGGAAGAGGAAGAGGAAAGCAGAGGAGTCAGGGATGGCTCCTCCTCAGGTGAGATGATATTCTCGGTGGATTGTTCTGTCTCCTTCCTTTCAGAAACGCTGGGCCTTGGAGTTGGGAATCTTCTCTGAGTCTGAAGCGTCCTGCCTGACAGGTTTGCTCACACTCACCCGTGCCTTCCCTCAGTCCCTCTCATCTCGCTTAGATTCCATCTCTCGTGACCCAGTGACATGAACTTGGGAAGAGGCTGCACTGGGCATGGGCCTGGGAAGGGCTCACACCAGACATGGATGGAGACGGGGTGAGGGTCCCGTGGTGTCAGTGCTGTTGGGCAGCCTGGATTGTTCAGGGGCCACATCTGGATGCACTGTCAGGTCTCTGTGGACCAGGATCAGAGCAACTGCCAGTGGAAGTCACCTTCCAACTGCCAATGGAAGTGCACAAAGTACATGGTAAATTCTAGAAAAGGAGCCCAGTATGAGGAAATGTTTTCTGCCTGATTTTATACATTTTATGTAATTGAGTGAGTTACTGTGTTTCTGACTCCAAAAATTTTACTAATTAGCATAGAAAGTTTATACGCAGGCATGAATGATAGAAGACGTTTTATTCCATCATTATTTTAAGAATATGAAATTGGCCAGGCGTGGTGGCTCACGCAGGTAATCCCAGTACTTTGGGAGGCCGAGGTGGGTGGATCACGAGGTCAAGAGTTCAAGACCAGCCTGGCCAAGACGGTGAAACCCTATCTCTCCTAAAACTACAAAAATTAGCCAGGCACAGTAGCATGTGCCTGTAATCCCAACTACTTGGGAGGCTAAGGGAGAAGAAGCACTTAAACCCGGGAGATGCAGGTTGCAGTAAGCTGAGATCATGCCACTGCGCTCCAGCCTGGGTAACAGAGCGAGACTCTGTCTCAAAAAAAAAAAAAAATTAGCCAGGCGTGGTGGCGTGCCATCTGTAACCCCAGCTACGCAGGAGGCTGAGGCAGGAGAATCACTTGAACCTGGGAGGCAGAAGTTGCAGTGAGCTGAGATTGCACCACTGCACTCCACCCTGGGTGTCAGAGCAAGACTCCGTCTTAAAAAAAATAAATTTATATTTATGTTTTTACTTTAGGTTTGGGGCACATGTGAAGGTTTGTTACACAGGTAAACTAGTGCCATCGGGGTCTGTTGTACAGATTATTTCATCGCTCTGGTATTAAGCCCTGTACCCAATAGTTATGTTTTATTTATTTATTTTTTCGAGACTAAGTTTTGCTCTTGTTGCCCAGGCTAGAGTATATTGGCATGATCTCAGCTCACTGCAATAATACTGCCAAAGTATCATTTTCCAGCAAGATGAGATTCCTCTTCAGGTCAACAAAACTTGCCACTTTTGATATTTTTAGAAACTTCATATATGTAAACACCCACACACACAATATACACACACACATATACATATACATACATATGCACACACACAAATGTATATATTTTGAACAACTTTTACAGTTTGAAAATCTGGGGAAAATGACAACCCTTTGTATTAACATCTAGTTTTTTGTGAGTCTGTGTAGGCTTCATTATTTTGTTTTATATATATATATTTATATATATATATATAAAATGAATTTTCATACTCTGAGTAATCTACTTTTCATGTATTTTCTTTTATTTTGAGACTGGGTCTCACTGTGTTGCCCAGGCTGGAGCACAGTGGCACGATCTTAGCTCACTGCAACTTCCACCCTCAGGCTTAAGCCATCCTCCTGCCTCAGGCTCCCAGGTAGCTGGAACCACAGGTGGCTGCCACCATGCCCGGCTAATTTTTTTTTTTTTTTGAGATGGAGTTTCTGTTGTCCAGGCTGGAGTGCAGTGGCACGATTTCGGATCACTGCCACCTCTGCCTCCCAGGATCAAGCAATTCTACTGCGTCAGCCTCCCAGGTAGCTGGGATAACAGGCATGTGCCACCGTGCCCAGCCGGATTTTAGTTTCGGATCTTTCACTGTGGACGTTGTCATCTCTGAAGACATCACTCATACTCTGTCTCATCTAGATACTGAATGTCACTTGATGTGTCAATAAAAGTTTCTGGGCCGGGCATGGTGGATCACGCCTGTAATTCCAGCACTTTGAGAGGCTGCGGCAGGTGGATCACAAGGTCCAGAGTTTGAGGCCAATATGGTGAAACCCTGTTTCTACTAAAAATACAAAAATTAACTGGTCATGGGGGCACACACCTGTAATTTCAGCTATTCAGGAGGCTAAGGCAAGAGAATTGCTTGATCCTGTGAGGTGGAGGTTGCAGGGCACCGAGAACACACCACTGCACTCCAGCCTGGGCACTCAGTGAGACTCCACCTCAAAAAAAAAGTATAATAAAACACAACTGGGAAGACAAAACATGGTGGAAAATCCCTCACTCAGATTTGTCAGAACATTCACTGCAATTAAATCCCCGCTTTCCCCTCTCTCCTCTTCTCATTTTCTGTAAAGATAAGAACTTCTCCCATAACCATTTGGTTAAAATGTGTTTTCATTTCAGGGTCTGTTGACATTCAGGGATGTGGCCATAGAATTCTCTCAGGAGGAGTGGAAATGTCTGGACCCTGCTCAGAGGACTCTATACAGAGACGTGATGTTGGAGAATTATAGGAACCTGGTCTCCCTGGGTGAGGATACCTTCCCTCCAGAAGTGGGGATGTGCCCTTGTGTATCTTTGTATTTTCTTTTTTTTTTTTTTTTTTTTTCAGATACAGTGTCTCTCTCTGTCCCCCAGGGTGGAGTGCAATGGTGGGATCAGGGCTCGCTGCAATCTTGAATTCCTGGGCTCAAGTGATTGTCCCACCTCAGCCTCCCCCAGTAGCTGGTACAGGTGCATGCCGCCATGCCGGGCTACTTTTTTAGTTTTATTTTTTTTTAGAGACAGATTCTTCCCATGTTGTTGAAGTTGGTCTTGATCTCCTGGGCTCAAGACATCCTCCATGGTCTCCCAAGGAGCTGGGCTTACAGGCCCCAATCCCCATACCTAACTATTGGCTTTTATTTTTTTAATTTTTGCATATGTGTGTCTTTACAGCTAATATGAGTTTTCTGTGGACAACACGTAATTGATTCCTGTTGATTCAGCCAGTCTTTACCTTCTGAGTGCAGAGTTAAATATTTACATTAGAAGCATTACTGATGGAAAAGACCTTACCGTTGCGTTTTTGTTACATATTATCTGTATTTCTTGTAGGTTTTTTTTTCTTCTTCATTTCTCATTTCCTACTTTTTGTGTTTAATAGGTTTTTTGTGTAGACATACTTTGACTCCCTTCTTAATTACTTTTGTTTTGTTTTGTTTTTTATGATGGAGTCTCACTCTGTTGTCCAGGCTACAGTGCAGTGGTGCGATCTTGGCTCACCGCAGCCAGCTACGCCTCTCGGGCTCAAACGATTCTTGTGCCCCAGGGGCTCAAGTCTGTAATCCCAGCACTTTGGGAGGCCGAGGCAGGCAAATCACCTGAGGTCAGGAGTTCAAAACCAGCCTGGCTAACATAGCGAAACTCTGTCTCTACTGAAAGTACAAAAATTAGTTGGGCATGGTGGTACACAGCTGTTATCCCAAGTAATCAAGAGGCTGAGGCAGGACAATCACTTGAACCCAGGAGGTGGAGGCTGTAGTGAGCCAAAATGTCCCACTGCACTCCAGTCTGGGTGACAAAGTGAGACTCTGGGCTGAGGCGGGAGAATCTCTTGAGGCAGGAGAATCGTGCCACTACACTCCAGGCTGAGTGATAGGCGTGACTCAGTCTCAAAACCAAACAAAAAATGAAATAGCTTAAACTGGGGGGCTTCAGACACAGAAATTTATTTCTCATGAATTTGGAAAGTGGGAAATCCAAGAGCAAGATGCCAGCCAAATTGGTTCCTCATGAGAGCCTTCTTCATGGTTTAGCCCAGCAATCTTCCTGCTGTATTCTGACACGGTGGAAAGAGGAACAGGCAGTGAGCTCTTTACTGTCTCTTTTTATAAAAGCACGAATCCTATTCACGAGTAGTCAACATCCATGACCAAATTCTCTCAAAGGCCCCATCTGCAAGAACATCCTATTGGAGAATAAGAAATCCGAACATGGCTTTTGGTCAATATGAACATTCAGACCAGGGAGCCTGCATCATATATTTTTTTTAATTGTGCAATTTGTTTTATACAATGTTTTCTCTGATCTCAGTTTATATATTTTCCCAGTACACATTCTGTGTTTTATATTTTATGCATCGTGAACTAGGTAACTAAGGGAAATGCATATATATAGAATTGCTGTATTGCCTGTTCCATAAATGTAGTTGTGACATCATAATTGCACCCTCCGATACTGTTAGTCAATTTTTTTTTTTTTTTTTTGAGACGAAGTCGCCCAGGCTGGAGTGCAATGGCTCGATCTTGGCTCACTACAACCTCCGCCTCCCGGGTTCAAACAATTCTCCTGCCTCAGCCTTTTGAGTAGACGGGATTACAGGTCCCCGCCACCACGGCCAGCTAATTTTTTTGTATTTTTAGTAGAGTTGGGGTTTCACCATGTTGGCCAGGCTACTCTTAAACTCTGGCCTCATGATCCACCCGCCTCTAAAAGTGCTGGGATTACAGGCCGTTAGTCACTTCTTATTCCTTATAATGCTGTGTATTTTTTTGACCTCATAAATCAGAAGGTAGTGATCTTAACAGGTATTTCAGTTCATATATTGTGTGCTGGTGGTAAGTAGAAGCTGTGGCTTTTTTCTTAACAGGGAATTGTTTAGAATTCTGCAGGTTGTATAAATGTACCTGTTATTTGCTTGCTAGTTTTATGGGTTACAATATTTTACTAATTTTTATGATTGTACATTAGGCTTTTTGGTATGTGGTATGCAATATAACTGACATGAGTCTACTAGTTAATGTCACAAAGTGCCACCAGGCACTGTGGCTTACGCCTGCAATCCCAGGACTTTTGGGAAGCTGAGGCAGGTGGAGCACTTAAGGTCAAAAGTTCAAGGCCAGCCTGGCCAAAATGTTGAAACTTTATCTCTACTAAAAATTCAAAAATTAGCCAAGCATGGTGGTGTGTGCCTGTAATCCCAGGTACTCAGGAGGCTGAGGCAGGAGAATGGCTTGAACCCAAAAGGCGGAGGTTGCCGTGAGCCAAGATCGGGCCATTGCACTCCAGCCTGTTGCGACAGAGCGAGACTTCACCTCAAAAATATAAAAATACTAAAAATACTAAATTTTTTTTCTTAATGTCACAACTTGCTTTTTCTGCATGGATATAGGTAATTTTATGACAGTTATTCAGAAAAACATTGTATTAACTTTTTTTTTTTTTTTTTTGAGATGGAGCCTCACTTTGTCGCCCAGGCTGAAGTACAGTGGTGCAATCTTGGCTCACTGCAACCTCTACCTCTTGGGTTCAAACGGTTCTTGTGCCTCAGCCTCCCGAGCAGCTGAGACTACAGCTGTGGGCCACCACGCCTGGCTAAATTTTGTAATCTTTTCTTATCTTCTCAGTGCTATGATTGTTTGACAATACAGAATTTCCATTGATTTTGATTATTCTTACATGAGCTTGTTGTGGATTATTTATGAATATAGTATATTGTGTGGTCCTTTAGCATTTATTTGTATACAGTAAATATGCTGTAAATATGAATAATATGTACTTTTCATTGATGTGACAGTGATATGTTTGTTGCAAACTGTGGGACACTTTAGGGTCACAGTGGAAAAATACTCCTTACTTTAGGCTTACACATGTTTGTGCCCTGTCAGTGTTTTGTTATGATATTGGAAATACACTTCCGTAAAAATAATTTGAAGCACATATAATCACCCTTTATTTATTAAAGAATCTTACGCTTTTGTGTTCCTAACTTTGAAGATCTTGTTTGGGAAGTTTAAAATAAGTATTTTTGTGTGTGTCATATTTACACATTTCAGTATGATTTACCGTCTGTACTTAATTGGAAACCTATTGGTGTTTATATTTTGTAGATATCTCTTCCAAATGCACGATGAAGGATTTCTCGTCAACAGTGCAAGGCAATACAGAAGTGATCCACACAAGGACATTGGAAAGACATCACATTGGAGATTTTTGCTTCCAGGAAATTAGTAAAGATATTCATAACTTTGAGTTTCAGTGGCAAGAAGATGAAAGAACTGTCCATGAAGCACCCATGACAAAAATAAAAAAGTTGACGGGTAGTACAGACCGATATGATCAAAGGCATGCTGGAAACAAGCCTATTAAAGATCAGCTTGGATCAAGCTTTCATTCGCATCTGCCTGAACTGCACATATTTCAGACGGAAGAGAAAATTGGTAATCAAGTTGAGAAGTCTATCAATGATGCTTCCTCAGTTTCAACAGCCCAACGAATTTCTTGTAGACCCCAAACTCATATCTCTAATAACTATAGGAATAATTTCCGGAATTCTTCATTACTCACACAGAAACAGGAAGTACACATGAGGGAAAAATCTTTCCAATGTAATGAGAGTGGCAAAGCCTTTAATTATAGCTCACTCTTAAAGAAACATCAGATAATCCATTTAGGAGAGAAACAATATAAATGTGATGTATGTGGCAAAGTCTTTAATAGGAAACAATATCTTGCATGCCATCGTAGATGTCACACTGGTGAGAAACCTTACAAGTGTAATGAGTGTGGCAAGACTTTCAGTCAGACATCATACCTTACATGCCATCGTAGACTTCATACTGGAGAGAAACCTTACAAATGTGAAGAATGTGACACAGCTTTCCGTTTCAAATCAAACCTTGAAAGACATAGGAGAATACATACTGGAGAGAAACCGTACAAGTGTAATGAATGTGAGAAGACTTTTAGTCGGACGTCATCCCTCACATGCCATCATAGACTTCATACTGGAGAGAAACCTTACAAATGTAAAGAGTGTGGCAAGACCTTTAGTCAGGAGTTAACCCTTACATGCCATCGTAGACTTCATAGTGGAGAGAAACCTTACAAATGTGAAGAATGTGACAAAACTTACAGTTTCAAATCAAACCTTGAAAGACATCGGAAAATTCATACTGGAGAGAAACCTTACAAGTGTAATGATTGTGGCAAGACCTTCAGTCATATGTCATCTGTTGTATACCATCGTAGACTTCATAGTGGAGAGAAACCTTACAAATGTGAAGATTGTGATGGAACTTTCACTTTCAAATCAAACCTTGAAAGACATAAGAGAATTCACACCGGAGAAAAACCATACAACTGTAATGAATGTGGCAAGACCTTTAGTCGGAAGTCATACCTTACACGCCATCATAGACTTCATACTGGAGAGAAACCTTACAAGTGTAATGAGTGTGGCAAGACCTTCAGTCAGCAGTTATCCCTTACGCGCCATCGTAGACTCCATACTGGAGAGAAACCTTACAAGTGTAATGAATGTGGCAAGACCTTCAGTAAGGAGTTAACCCTTACATGCCATCGTAGACGTCATACTGGAGAGAAACCTTACAAGTGTAATGACTGTGGCAAGACCTTCAGTCAGGAGTTATCCCTTACATGCCATCGTAGACTTCATACTGGAGAGAAACCTTACAAGTGTAAAGAGTGTGGCAAAGCCTTTTGTGGGCAGTCAGCACTTATTTACCATCAAGCAATCCATGGTCTAGGGAAACTTTACAAATGTAACAATTGTCACCAAGTCTTCAGTAAGGCTACAACCATTGCAAATCATTGGAGAATCCATAATGAAGAGAGATCTTACAAGTGTAATAAATGTGGCAAATTTTTCAGACATCATTCATACCTTGCAGTTCATGGGCGAACTCATACTAGAGAGAAACCTTACAAATGTGAAGAATGTGATGAAGCTTTCAGATTCAAATCAAACCTGGAAAGTCATAGGAGAATTCATACTGGAGAGAAATTGTACAAGTGTAATGAATGTGGCAAGGGTTTTAATAAAAAAGGAAACCTTACACGTCATCATAGACTTCATACTGGAGAGAAACCTTACAAGTGTAATGAATGTGGCAAGAAGTTTAGTCGAAATTCAGCTCTTGTAATTCATAAGGCAGTTCATACTGGAGAGAAACATTACAAGTGTAATGAGTGTGGCAAGACGTTTGGTCGAAATTCAGTCCTTGTAATTCATAAGGCAATTCATACTGGAGAGAAACCTTACAAGTGTAATGAGTGTGGCAAGACCTTCTGTCAAAATGCAGCCCTTGTAATTCATAAGGCAATTCATACTGGAGAGAAACCTTACAAGTGTAATGAATGTGGCAAGGCTTTTAATCGAAAAGCAAACCTTGCACGTCATCATAGGCTTCATACTGGAGAGAAACCTTACAAGTGTAATAAATGTGGCAAGGTTTTTAATCAACAAGCACACCTTGCACGTCATCATAGAATTCATACTGGAGAGAAACCTTACAAGTGTAATGAGTGTGGCAAGGTTTTTAATCGAAAAACAAAGCTTGCACGTCATCATAGAATTCATACTGGAAAGATACCTTAGAAATGTGAAGCATGTGACAAAGTTTACAGTCGCAAATCAAGCCTCAAAAGACAGGAGAATTCATACTGGAGAGAAACCATACAAATGTAAGAGTTTGTGACAAGGCTTTCAGGCATGACTCACACTGGCACAACATACTAGAATTCACACTGGAGAGAAACAAGTGTAATGAGTGTAGCAAAGCCTTTAGTGGGCAGTCAACATTTATTCCTCATCAGGCAATCCATGGTATAGAGAAACTTTACTAATGTAATGATTGTCACAGAGTCTTCAGTAATGCTACAACCATTGCAAAGCACTGGAGAATCCATAATGGAGATCTTACATGTGTAATAATTGCGGGAAATTTTTCAGACATCATTCATACTTTGCAGTTCATTGGCAAACTCATGTTGGAGAGAAACCTTACAAATGTGATTGTGCCAAGGTCTTCAGTCAAGCTTCATCCTATGCAAAACAGGAGAATTCGTACAGGAGAGAAACCTCACAAGTGTGATGATTGTGGCAGAGCCTTTACTTCATGTTCACACCTCATTAGACATCAGAGAATGCATACTGGACAGAAATCTTACAGATGTCATGAGTGTGGCAAGGTCTTCAGTCTGATTTTACTCCTTGTAGAATATCAGAAAATTCATTTTTGAGGTGATTGTTCCAAGTGCAATGAGTATAGCAAACCATCAAGCATTAATTGACATTAAAGTGTTTATGTTAAGAGGATTGGGCCAGGCGTGGTGGCTCACGCCTGTAATCCCAGCAGTTTGGTAGGCCAAGGTGGGTACATCACTTGAGGCCAGGAGTTTGAGATCAGCCTGACCAACAGACAGGAGCCATTTTCCCAGCCTGTTTTTTGCTTCTTTAATGAAAATTGATAGGGATTTTTCTGGGTATTGTGTTGAATCTAAATCACATTGGGTTATATAATTATTTAACAATCTTACTTTTTCCAAACCAGCAATATGGGTTATATATATATGTTTTTAATCATTTTGATGTATGTTTTTAGATTGCAAGGTACAGATTTCTCACCTTTTTACAGTTATTCCTATTTCTTTAAGTTCTCTAGCAAATGGAAGTGTTTTAAATTTTCTTTTAAAATTGTTCATCGTTAATGTATGGAAATTCATCTAATTTTTGGTGCTGATATTGTATTGTGTGGATACATTGAATGTGTTTGTTAGCTCCAGTAGTATTTTGATTGACTCTTTGTGATTTTCTACACAGAAGATCGTGTCATCTACAAACAAATACAATTTTACTTATTTCTGATTTGGATGAGTTTTATTTCTTTTACTACTTAATTGCTCTGGCTAGGACAACCAGTATCTATTGAATAGAAGGGGTGAGTGCATTCTTGCATCATGTGAGATCCAACAGGAAAGCATTCCATTTTCCCAGCTTGGTTATTTACTCGTTGGTCATTTCATGGATGGTCTTTCTATTGTTGAGGTAAATTTCCTTCTCTACCTATTTTGTTTAGGATTTCTGTGATTATTAGATTTTGAATTTTCTGAAATGCTTTTTTTTCCATCTATTGAGATGATGTGGTTTTCATCTTTCGTTCTGTTCAAGTCGTATTTCACATTGATTTGCTTGAATATGTTGAACCATCCTTGCATCCCAGAAATAAGTGGCACTTGAATATCTACAATCCTTTTTATAGCCTCTTGAATACAGTTTTCTAGTACAAGAAGTCTTCAAGAAGTTCATGGAAAAATACGTAGTATGTGTCTTATGAGAAAATTTTACATAAATTTCACAGTTTTTGCAACAAAATAAACTGGTACAAATCTGTTATGTCAGAATAGGCTCTAGTTTAAGGCACTCAGAAGGATAAGACGTGAGTTTGAAAACAGACTCTGTCAAGCAATATAAATTCTGCTAAAATTGAAACAAGAAGAAACATCAAATTTACAATGAGACCAGATGCAGTGGCCCAGTCCTGTAATCCCAGCACTTTCAGAGGCCAAGACAGGTGGGTCACGTGAGCCCAGGTATTCAAGACCAGCGTGGGCAACATGGTGAAACATCCTTCTCTACAAAAAAGGCAAAAATTAGCTGGGAGTGGTGGGACATGTCTGCAGTATTTTTAGGAGAGACGGGGTTTCACCATATTGGCCAGGCTGGTCTTGAACTCCTGACCTCGTGATCTGCCTGCCTCAGCCTCCCAAAGTGCGGGGATTACAGGAGTGTGCCACTGCGCCCACCCCATATCAGTTTTACAGAAAAAAAAAAAAAAAAAAAAAATCTTGTTTGTGCCGCAATGAAGAGGACTGACACCTAACAGCAGAAACAGTATTCAGGAGTTCAAGAACAGGCTGGTTAACATGGTGAAACCACGTCTTTACTAAAAATACAAAAATTAGCTGGGTATGGTGGTGGACGCCTGTAATCCCAGTTACTCAGGAGGCTGAGGCTGGACAATCGCTTGAACCCCAGAGGCGGACATTGCAGTGAGCTGAGGTGGCGCCATTGTACTCCAGATCACGTGAGGTCAGGAGTTTACCAGCCTGGCCAACATGGTGAAACCCCCTCTCTACTAAAAATACAAAACAAAAGGCCGGGCATGGTGGCTCACACCTGTAATCCCAGCACTTTGGAAGGCTGAAGCAGATGGATCACAAGGTCAGGAGTTTGACACCACCCTGCCCAACATGGTGAAACCCCATCTCTACTAAAAACACAAAAGTTAGCTAGGCTCCCAGCTACTTGAGAGACTAAGCCAGGAGAATCGCTTGAACCCGGGAGGCGGAGGTTGCAGTAAGCAGTTGAGATCGTGTCACTGCACTCCAGCCTAGGCAACAGAGCGAGACTGTCTCAAACAAACAAACAATGGTAGCATGCACCTGTAATCCCAGCTACTTGGGAGGCTGAGGCAGGAGAACTGCTTGAATCTGAGAGGTAGAGGTTGCAGTGAGCCGAGATCGCCCCACAGCACCCCAACCTGGGTGAGTCTTGCTCTTATTTACAGGAAAAGAGTTTTCCTGTAAATAATTAGGAAGACTAAGCAGCCCCAAAGATAAGACCTCCTGGGATCATTGTCCCTTCTTATGGAGTGATAAAATAACCTTCCTTGAAGTGTATCAATCCGTCACCAATCAACTTGCTGTAACCTATGCACTGGTCTTGAATGGAAAATATGGTGCTTCTGCTAAAGCTTCTTCTTTCCCTGTGTGTGAAACGTTAATGTCTCCACTTTGGAACGCTGATCCCATTCATTAGGAGTTGATGCTTCCAGGTGGCTATCCTCATGCTTTGTGTTCAGATAAGTTGTATACTTAATCATAAATTCTGAATTTTATTATTTACTGCTGACATCAGTTTCTGTCGAATTTTAGGAGCCTCACTAGAGATGGCACCTGTCTCCATGTTGTAAAACTCACACTTGTCAAAGAAACATGGGTTAGGGTTTCTTCCCCTCCTCAGCATGAAGCTAATTAGCTGACAGAAATGGTCACCTCCATTACCCAGTAGAGCCAGGATGAACTATGTGTGACCAAGGGTGTTGTCAAGTCCTCTTCCCTGAGGACTGATTAGTGTTTATCTTGAAAACATGTACTTAATGGGTTGTATAGAACAGTGAAGTTTCTTTCTCTTTTTTCAACCTCTCAGCTGTTTGCTTCTATTTCCCATCACATTCTGGTCTAAGGCTTATTTATCAATAACTTTTAAAATTTCTTTCTCTATTATCGTCGTGCAGATGTTTTGTCATTTGGGGGAAGATTTTGTTTTGCTTTGTTTTCAATTATATTTTCTCAACAATTAGAAAGTGAAGTAAAAGGTATTTGTTGGATCAGGCGCAGTGGCTCACGCCTGTAATCCCAGCACTTTGGGAGGCCGAGGCAGGCGGATCACTTGAAGTCAAGAGTTTGAGACCAGCCTGGCCAACATGGTGAAACTCGTCTACGAAAATTAGCCGGGCATGGTGGCACGCGCCTGTAATGGCAGGTACACCGCAGCTGAGGCAGGGGAATCGCCTGAAACTAGGAGGCAGAGGCTGCAGTGAGCCGAGATCCCCTCACTGCCCTCTAGCCTGGGCTACAGAGAAATACTCTCATTCAAAACAAAAGAAATAAGTAAATAAAGTAATAAATCTCTTCCACAAATGTGCTGAGACAACTAACTGGATATCCACATGGAAAAGAATAATGTTGGATCCCTATCTCACGCAATCAAAATTGTATTTTTGTTATTAAAAAAAAAAAGGAAAAAAGAGAGAGAGAGGAGGAAGGGAGCCCTGCGGGAGCGGGTGTTACTTTGTCGCCCAGGCTGGCCTGGACCCCAGGCTCAGCGATCCTCCCGCCGCTGCTTCCTGAGTAGCTGGGTCCTCAGTCTCCCTCCCCTGCGCCTCTGCTGTATTTATCCAGCAGGTGGTCACCTCACTCCTCGCTTTCCTGAGCATTGCGTCCCGCATCCCAGGCGGTGGCTTTAGGGAAGTCTCTGAAGCTGAGCACAGGGTGGATTTTCCCCCCACCCGGTGAACGGAGAATAGAAAGGGAGAGAATTTCTATTCTGTTCTGTGGGCCGTCAGCATGAAATTGTACCTTCGGCCCAGGCAGGGCTTTGCATTTCACATTCTAGTTTACATGCCCATTCCAGACAATTCCAGGGCTTTTGAATCAGGCCTCAGCCTTTCTGGCGGGTCTGGACTCCAAAACCCTAAAACAGGCGCCGGAGGGAGGGTGAGGAACTCACAGGTCCCGCCCCGGCCCCGCCCCGGCCCCGCCCCTGCCCCGCCCTCTGCCGGTTCTAAAGAGCAAAATCTCTCCGCCTCGCGCCCCGCCCCTACCTCGCCTAGGCCCCGCCCACCTCCTCGCGGGTCCCACCCAGGCCTGGCTTTTGTCCTGCGCGCAGATTCGCGAAAACCCGGAAGCGGATCGCGTGGAGTGACGGTCCCATCGCGGCGCGTGAGTTTCGTTCTGTGTTGTATTAAGTCTGCGCTTCCCAGGTCCCTGGCGCTTCTGTTCCTGGGGTGTGGGGTCCCCACAAACCTGGAAATTTTCAGCCATCTTCCTTCACCTAGAGCAAATTGGGACGACCCTGTGAGAGTCCGGGGGTCGCTTCCTTAGGGGTTTAAGGTCGCCCTGAGGCTAGCCCCGTCCCGGGTCTTTCTGCTGTAGGGCAGTGTGTACACTTTCTATCGCGTAGTTTTCCTGCTCTAAACCTTTTTCTGACTCCTCCCGCCCCGCGCTTTTTAAAGTCCTCATCGGAGAGGTGGATTCTCGCCCTCTTCCGCCCATGGAACGTAGAACCGCGGCCCCAGTCCCAGGAAGGCCGCCTCCTCTGTCTGGTCCTGGGATCCTGCAGACCCCACCCTTGTCTTAAGGCGCCCTCGCCCCCCGACCTCCCTCCTCCTGCTGGGCCCTGCTGCTCCCTAGGTCTCCCCTCCGCAGTCACGGCTTCCCCTGAGCCTACGTTGGGGAGGTGGCTGGGGCCTGTCCTGTTAAAGGGGGCCAGCCCTTCCACACCTGTGGGTATTTCTCGTCAGGTGGGACTAGAGCCTGAGAAAAGAAGGAAGACACAGAGACAAAGTATAGAGAAAGAACAGTGGGCCCAGGGGGTGCTCAGTATAGGGAGGACCCGCACCGGTCCCAGCCTCTGAGTTCCCTGAGTATTTAGTGATCATTATTTTTACTATCTTAGCTAGGGGCGTGTATCAGGGCAACAGGTGGGGAGAAGGTCAGCAGGGAAACGTGTGAGCAAAGGAATCTGTATCATGAATAAGTTCAAGGAAAATAAGTACTGTGCCCGGATGTGCACGCAGGCTAGCTTTATGTTTCTCTTTACCCAAACATCTCAGTGTAGCAAAGAGTAACAGAGCAGTATTGCTGCCAGCATATCTCACCCCCAGCCACAGGGCGGTTTTCTGCTATCTGAAAATAGAAAGAATGGGAATGGTCGGCTTTGCACCAAGACATTCCAATCCCAAGGATGAGCAAGAGACAGCCTTCCTCTTATCTCAGTTGCAAAGAGGCTCCCTCTTTTACTAATCCTCCTCAGCAAAGACCCTTTATGGGTGTCAGGCTGGGGGATGGTAAGGTCTTTCCTTTCCCATGAGGCCATATCTCAGGCTGTCTCAGTGGGGGCAAACCTTGGACAATACCAGGCTTTCTTGGGCAGAGGCTTTCCGCAGTGCATTGTGTTCCTGGTTAATCGAGAATGGAGAATGGCGATGACTTTTACCAAGCATACTGCATGTAAACATATTGTTAACAAGGCAAGTCCTGCACAGCCCTAAATCCCTTAAACTTTGATTCCTTACAGCACATGTTTCTGTGAGCACAGGGTTGGGTCTAAAGTTACAGGTTAACAGCATCTGAAAGCAGAAACAATTTTTCTTAGTACAGATCAAAATGGAGTTTCTTATGTCTTCCTTTTCTACATGGACACAGTAACAATCTGACCTCTATTTCTTTTCCCCACATCCTGTGACACAGGCTGTTCTTCCCTGCCCAGCTCCAGCCCCTTTAAAATGCGCTCCCCTGGTATGCAGGCATCTTACTCCAAACTCTCCTGTGATTGTGTGGGCCAAAGGGATCAGGAGACAGACAGAGACCAGTAGAAAACCTGAGACAGAAAAGAATGACAAAGACTCATAACAGATGGCAAAGTAGAGAATGGGGTAGGGATTTGCCAAGAGATAGCAAAAGTGAAAAAAATAATAATAATAAAGCAGGAGGAGAAAAGCAACTGAAGAAATGCAGAGAAAAGCTAGAAGGACCGACAGATGGCCAGGCGTAGTGGCTCACGCCTGTAATCCCAGCACTTTGGAGGGCTGAGGCAGGCGGATCACTTGAGGTCAGGAGTTCGAGACCAACCTGGGCAACATGGTGAAACCCTGTCTCTACTAAAAATACAAAAATTAGCCAGATGTGGTGGCAGGCGCCTGTAATCCCAGCTACTTGGGGAGGCTGAGGCAGGAGAATTGCTTGAACCCAGGAGGCAGAGGTTGCAGTGAACCTAGAGCATGCCACTGCACTCCAGCCTGGGTGACAGAGCGAGACTCTGTCTCAAAAAAAAAAAAAAAAAAAAAAAGAAGAAGGACAGACAGATGAAGGACAGCAAGGTAGGGAGAGGGACAGCAAAGAGGGAGGCTCATCAGAGTGAGGGAGAGGGGGAGGGATTTGGAGCCGGGGCAGACAGAGCAGAGTGGTGCTGGTGGCAAGGAAAACAGAGGGAGAACCACAGCAGGGAGGACACCTGGGGATCTAGGCTGCCAGAGAGTGGGGACAAGGGGTATAAAGGGAAGAGATAATTTAACAGGGAGAGCAGAGGAGGCACAGAGATGGTGGTGTGGCAAACTGAGGACTAGAGAGACTGATATGGGGGAGAAAGGAGGATGTTTATTTAAGGTACTCACCGGCTCAGTGGATTTACATCTAAAAAGCTGAGCATTTCAACAAAGACAGAGTGGAGTTTTATAAGCAGACTCACAGACGCAAAATAAAAGCAGTTAGTCATATAGTGATAGGTCATGTAATCTATACCATAGCATAACTTGTAACCTTGCATAGCTGGTGGCCTTGTAGCTGCATTGAAAGAAAAACAAGAACAGCTAAATACACACATTTCCTCCTTCCTTCCTTCCCTCCCTCCCTCCCTCCCTCCCTCCCTCCCTCCCTCCCTCTCCTTCCTTCCTTCCTTCCTTCCTTCCTTCCTTCCTTCCTTCCTTCCTTCTTTCTTTCTTCATTCTTCTTCTAAAGGGGAGGTGTCTGGAGCCCGTTCCTTTGGCTTAGACTTCTCAAACAGGGTTATGATATAACTGTCCTTGAAGTGAGCTTGCTAGGCAGAGGAAAACTGGTTCTTTTCTTTTTAACCCTTGCCTTGCCTGTTACTTTTCCTAGAGTGAATGAATGCATATTTATTTTTTAAATTTCTGCCTCAGTTTTCTCCCTTTGGTGCTAGTTATAAACAAGATTTTAATAGAAAGCATCACTGTTACTGGATTCTTCATGAAAGAGCAGGTTTTCTTCTTTAGGCACAGGCTGATATTCACATAGAGCTATTAGCTGAGTGGTAGTCTGCCTGGTTACAATTGCTTCTATCATTGATTGAATGTTCTTAACAAGGAGAGGTCAGAGGCAAGGGAGTATGAAACAAATTCTTAGTATGGCTGGAACTACTCCTATTGAGGTTTTGAACCTACTGAAGGAGGAAAACCAGCCTCTAAAGAGGGACTCAGGAGCCTACTTTTTCTAAGTGTGGACTGGAACTTGGGCTAATTTTTTCATTCTGGCAGTTATTTCTGTAATAGCCTTCCTATTGCCATTGATTTCCAGGCAGCAATTGGTTAGATTAAATTTTCTACGTACTCCTCCTTCCTGGGCTAGGAGGTAGTCTAAAGTTAATCTATTTTGGTAGATGGCATTTCTCATTTTTGTGGCTTGCTGGGCCAGTAAGTCGAATGCATTTGCTGTTTCATTAGTGATGATTTGAAGTGCTGCTTGCAACTTTAGGATGCGGTTAAGCGTGTAAATTGGGGTGCGGTAGCTTTATGACTTATCTTGTGCCCAGGTAGCTGGCCTAAAGTACTGAATTAGTCTTTCAGGGGCCGATCTGTGTCTTTCTAATCTTCTATTTTATGTATTTTCTTATGTCCATATCTCTTTTGTTTTTTTCTTTGATTTTTTTGTAGACAGGATACCATCAAGGTTCTCCCTGTTGCAGTGGGAGTAAGGAGAAAGATGGTCTAATTGTTTCAAGTACACAAGCCCTTGTCCACTTTCCTGGCAACTGTCCGTAGTCGCGAGGCCCACAGATCTAATAGAGACGGGAGGGTGCTTGCCAGGTATATGGAGCTTCAAGCTGTTACTAGATGCGGTAACGGGAGAAGAGAAACGGGAGAATGGATTTGGATGAGGTGATCTGGAGTCATCCTTGCCTTGCCTTTCCACGAAGTTTTCTTTAGTGGTTTATGATAATACTGCTGTCTTAAACAAGTTAATTCTTCTACTGAGTCCGTAAAAGCTTTTCCTTAGCGAGCAACACAGTATCTCCTGATAATGGAAGTTTTTAAGAGCGAGGCGCTTGAACTTGTGGGCATCGGTTCGGGAGAAGAGTCAGTTAGAGTTAAATTATCTTGTGACATTAACGCTTTTGCTTCTTAAGGCCATTGGTCTCCTATATTAGTCCTTCTACAAACGTAACATGAGAAAATGCTTAAGCTGCTAGCAATGTTTTCAGCAACCCGAGTGAACAGGTTTTTAGCTAAAGGAGGAGGCTCTGGTAACTTCTGGTCTACGTGCGTATGGAATGATTTAAAGACTCAGAATTGTTGCTGGTCCAGGTTCCTTTTTGATAACGTATAGGTAGGTTGCTGGGTAGGTGTGTGGAGACATGTATGGGGTAACCCACAGTCCGCATGGGTAGGTCTGGCTTTAGAATGGTGAAATTTACAGGATGACAGGTTTTTGTTTCACAATCTGGTTTTGCTGGCATTTCGGTAAGCATGATTGGCCTTTGTTGTGTGCTGGGGTGCCGCAATGTGCAATACTCACCATCTTTTTCTGGGTCCCAGGGGAACAAGGTGGCATGCATAGGTATTTGTAGTCGTTTCCATAGTATCTCTGTACAGGTGGGTTACCACAGACGGATGAGTCTAGGTCTGCTGCTGGACCAGCATCAAAATACAGAGAAATAGGCCCTCGGTAAAAGGGAGGGACCTTGGTTTGGTTTAAGAGGGGACTTTCTTTTGACCTTGCATGAATTTTAAAGTATTCGCCAAGTGAAAATTTGGGGTTATAACATACATAAGGTTGGTTATTTCCTGGGTCACAAATTGAGTAGATGGTCTGATTATATGTACAAGTCTTTTTTTTTTTTTTTTGAGATGAAGTTTCACTCTTGTTGCCCAGGCTGGAGTGCAATGGCATGATCATGGCTCACCACAACCTCCACCTCCTGCGTTCAAGCGATTCTCCTGCCTCATCCTCCTGAATAGCTGTGATTACAGGCATGCACCACCATGCCTGGTTAATTTTGTCTTTTTATTCGAGATGGGGTTTCTCCATGTTACTGAGGCTGGTCTCAAACTCCCAACCTCAGGTGATCCACCCGCCTCAGCCTCCCAAAGTGCTGGAATTACAGGCATGATCCCCCGTGCCTGGCCTTTATAATATTTTTTATACACTTTATACACTCCTAATAACTATGGAACAATAGCGTCTTAGTTATGCTGTTCCCTGACCAGGTAGTATGTGTACAGTGGGGACACAGTTCTATAGGGGCTTCTTCTAACATGGTTAGGGGGAGTAACAACAGCAAAACAATGGACAGCATATTCATATCCAGCAAGGTCAGAAGAGGGCCTTGCCTGGGGGAGGAGGTTGAGTACAATGACAGAACAATAATAAAACAGTTAGTATTACAAGGAAAACTACTAGTCTTAAGATTTCTAACCACATTTACTTGCATGATGAGTCCTCAAGCTTTGGCTGTGTGTAGAAGACTAGTCAGCTTCCCATGTGTGACTAGAGCAGGGCTTGTCGTCCCCTCCAGCTTCAGCTGTGCGTAGACTGGTCAGCCTCCGGGGTGACCAGAACAGGGCTGTCGTCCTCAGCAGCAGCTTGGTCTCATCTCACGATCAGCCGAGTTGGATGATCTGGGTCTTGCTGGCTGGTCCACTTGTCCTGAGCTGCCGGTTTCAGTTGACTGTGGTGGATCTAAGGCATGATTCCTGCAAGTTTAACAGCAGTGGGTGTGGACAAGATTACAGTATAGGGCCCATCCTATATGGGTCCTAGAGAAGCTGGATTCTACTTTTTAACATAAACAGAGTCTCCAGGTTTAAAGGGGTGTACTGGATCTGTCAGACTTATGGGCATTCTTTTTTGTATTCAGTTATGGATTTTTTGCATGGCTATTCTTAAAGCCTGCGTTTGCTTTCTTAAAGTTAATTCCTCTAGTTCTTGAAGATCACTTTTAATTTGACTTATAATTTGACTTATGGTTGGACTGAACAGACTTTCATAGGGTGAATACCTAGTTTGTTTGGTGAGGATGCACTTGACTCGGAGGACGACTGTAGGAAACACCTGACGAGTTTCTTGGCAGTATTTCTTCAGTATTTCTTCAGCTTAGTGTCCAATTCATGCATTTTACTTTTCTTGAACTTTCCGGCCAATAGGCTAGGCATAACTACTATTTTATTTTTAGCAGTCTTGTTAAATCTTGCACTATTTCAGCTACAAATGCCAGCCCATTGTCTGACTTTAAAGTTAGAGGCAGTCCAAGCCTGGGGATAATGTCTTTTATCAGTACTTTAGTCACTTCTGCTTTTTCTGTCCTGGTGGGGAAAGCCTTAACCTATCTTGAAAAGGTGCAAATAAACACTAGCCTATGCCCCTAGCCTCTGGCACGGTGCAGTTCGGTAAAGTTTATAACCAAGTTTTCACAAGGCATGGCTCCTGCTTCTTGAATTCTTGGGGGCCGAGTGGGCCCCTGTCACAGGTTATTCTGAGCACGGGTTAAGCATTGTTTACAAACGGCTCAAATGACAGCACAGAGCCATGGCACATAGAAATGGCACTTTCGTGGCCAGGCGCGGTGGCTTGCGCCTGTAATCCTACCACTTTGGGAGGCCAGGGTGGGCAGATCACGAGGTCTGGAGTTCAAGGCCAGTGTGACCAACATGTTAACACCCGGTCTCTACTGAAAAAAACAAAAAAAATTGCCGGTTGTGGTGGCAGGCGCCTGTAATACCAGCTACTAGGGAGGCTGAGGCAGAAGAAATGCTTGAACCCGGGAAGCAGAGGTTGCAGTGAGTCAAGATCGCGCCACTGCACTCCAGCCTGGGTGACGGAGTGAGACTCCGTCTCAAAAAACAAAAAAAGAAAAGAAATGGCACTTTCATAACGTTACAAATGCTGTTTTTCTTATATGAGTTTCTGATGAATTGGCTTCACAAACTTAGGCGCTAACGTCTTTGAAATGGCTGGTCTCCTATCAAAGATAATTTACTACCTTCTTTTAACATAATTTTTGTCTTCTTGGGCACACCAGGCTCTTTGATTTGCAGTATAACTTGGGCCCTCTTGCAGAGGAGGTCTGGGAGGAGAGGCATAGCTAAGGCTTCCTCTTTAAAATGTGGCGTGAGCAGGCCGGGCGCGGTGGCTCAAGCCTGTAATCCCAGCACTTTGGGAGGCCGAGACAGGTGGATCACGAGGTCAGGAGATCGAGACTATCCTGGCTAACACGGTGAAACCCCGTCTCTACTAAAAAAATACAAAAAACTAGCCGGGCGAGGTGGCGGGCGCCTGTAGTCCCACCTACTCGGGAGGCTGAGGCAGGAGAATGGCGTGAACCCGGGAGGCGGAGCTTGCAGTGAGCTGAGATCCGGCCACTGCACTCCAGCCTGGGCGACAGAGCGAGACTCCGTCTCAAAAAAAAAAAAAAAAAAAATGTGGCGTGAGCATTGCTGCGTGCTTTGCCTCTCTGTCTGCCTTTCTGTTTCCTTTGGCTTCTGGCATTCCTTGCCTTTTGGTGCCCTCTGCAGTGCATTGTAGCTACTTTTTCTGCAGCCTATACAGCCTCTAAGAACCGTAGAATCTCTTCTTTGTACTTTATTTCTTTTCTCTAGCTGTTAGTTAATCCTCTAGCTGTTTGCTCTCTCTCTTAATATATAGTTCCATGTCCATGCAATGTAGTAAAAGCATACTGAGAATTAGTATAAACTTGACTTTCTTGTCTTTTCTAGCAACAGTGCTCTTGTCAGGGCTATTAATTCTGCTTTTTGAGCTGATGTTCCAGTGGACAGAGGCTGAGCCTCTACTACTGAGTCTAACGTTACCACTGCATACCTGGCACGTCGAACCTCTTCTAGCACCGAACTGCTTCCACCTGTGAAGTACTTGACATCTGGGTCTCCAAGAGGTCTGTCTGTAAGATCTTTCTCACTGGGGAATATCCCATCTACTGTTTCGACACAGTCATAGGGGGAGCTCCCGGTTTGACTGGGAGCAGAGTAGCTGGGTTTAGGGTGTTTACTGTTCTAAAGTTGTGTAAGGGTTTTCACATAGAAGCCCTTGGTACCGAGTCATCCTTGGGTTTGATAACTAATGATGCCTTCTTTGATCCATCACAGTTATGACTGAATGTGGCACCCGGATGGTTAGTTGCCGTCCTAAAGTTAATTTGCTATCTTCTTGTGTTAACAAGATGGTGGCAGCTAATGCCTTAAGGCAAAGAGGCCATCTTAACACCACAGAGTCTAGTTGTTTGGATAAATATGCCACTGGGTGATGCCCTGATCCTATAAGTTGAGTCAGAGCCCCTATAGCCATTCTTTTTCATTCATGAACATATAGAAAGAAAAGCTTACTTATGTCTGGTAGTGTTAAGGCTGGGGCCTTAGTTAAAGCTTCCTTGATCTGTTTGAAGGCTATTTCTTGATTAGTTTTTCAAAGGAAGGGCTCCTTTTCTCCTCCTTTTGTGGCTTCATATGAACGATCATATTAGCCATCAGTGGGAACTTTGGAATCCAGATGCAGCAGAATCTTGCTGTCTCTACAAATTCCTATTTGATATAGGGTGGTCAGGGCCGGAAGCGCACAAACGGCTTGCTTCCACTCATAGCCAAGCCAGTGTTCCTCGTGGCTCACTATGACACCTAGATATGTAACCTCTTCATGGCAAATTTGGGCTTTACTTTTTGACATTTTGTAACTTACTTTCTATAGGAGATGGAGGAGATCCTGGGTTCCCCGATAACAGCCCTCTGAGGTTGGGGCCGGCAAAAGAAGCTCATCTACAGACTGTAGCAAGGTGCAGTTGTTATTTGGTGGGGTATAGGCCATGAGGTCTGAGGCCAATATTTCTCTAAAGATTGTGGGAGAGAACCGGGCATGGTGGCTCGCACCGGTCATCCCAACACTTTGGGCGGCCGAGGCGGGTGGATCACGAGGTCAGGAGTCCAAGACCAGACTGGCCAAGATGGAGAAACCCCGTCTCTACTAAAAATACAATAACTGGCCTGGTGCGGTGGCTGGCACCTGCAATCCTAGCTACTCGAGAGGCTGAGGCAGGAGAATTGCTTGAACCCGGGGGCAGAGGTTGCAGTGAGCTGAGATTGCACCACTGCACTCCAGCCTGGGTGACACAGCAAGACTCCATCTCAAAAAAAAAAAAAAAAGATTGTGGGAAAGTGTTTAAACCTTCGTGGGAGTCTAGTCCAGGTGAACTGTGATGCTTCTTTGTATTATGAAATGCAAACATCAGCTGACTAACTGCTGCCAGACAGATACAAAAGAAAGCATCTTTTAAGTCTAAGACTGTAAACTAGCTCTTGCTGGAATAAGTCCAGTCAAAGTGTACGGATTAGGTACCACTGGATGGATAGTTACCGTGGCCTGGTTTACAACATGCAAATCTTGCACCGGCCTATATTCATTAGACCCTGGCCCTGGCAATGGCTTCTGAACTGGCAAAAGTGGGGTGTTCTAAGGCGACTGGCATTGGACTAGAATCTTATGTTTATAGAGCCGTTCTAAATGTTTGCAGGTGCCCTGTATGGACTTTTGAGGAACTGGGTACTGATGAACCCGAACAGGAGTTGCTCCTGGCTTTAATTCTACTACTGGTGCATGATTTACAGCTAACCCAGGTGGGTTGTCCTCAGCCTATACTCCAGGAATTTCTTTAACTAACTGAAATAATAACTTTTCTTCTTCTTGAGTGTGAGGTTGCATTGGTGCCTGAAAAAGGGGCTGGGTGCAGTGGCTCATTCCTGTAATCCCACCATTTTCAAAGACTGGGGCAAGGGGATTGCTTGAGTCCAGGAGTTCGAGACCAGCCTGGGCGACATAGTGAGACCCCCGTCTCGGCCAAAAATAAATAAACAAATAAATTTAACCAGGCATGATGGTGCACCCTATACTCCCAACTACTCTGGAGGCCGAGGTAGGAGGATCACTTGAGCCTAGGAAGTCCAGGCTGCTGTCAGCCGAGATCATGCCACTGCACTCCAGCCTGGTCAACAGAGCGAGACCCTGTCTCAAAAGAATAAAGGGGTGGGCGACTTTGGGTTCAGATGAGTGGGTGAGTTCATTGGATATGATTACCTGTGACATGTTGACTTCTGTGTATATAATCTAATAACTTAAAATTTGTTTAAATTATACGGATGAGATTGAGAATTTTAAAATTCCTATCTATAAGGCATGTACATCCTATAAATCTTGGCATAGAGGTCAGCTTCCACTTGGAATCCCTATTCAGCCAGAGGACAGTGACTTATTCAGTTGTGAATTACTCTATTCCCTTTTTGCAGGGTGGGGTAGGAAGTGGTGCAGTGATGTGAGGGAAAAAAATCCGTTTCTGTTATTACATAATACAATTATGATGTGATAATTACATAATACAATTATGATGTGATAATTACATAATACAATTATGATGTAATAATTACATAATACAATTATGATGTAATAATTACATAATACAATTATGTGATAATTACATAATACAATTATGATGTAATAATTACATAATACAATTATGTGATAATTACATAATACAATTATGATGTGATTACATAATACAATTATGATGTGATAATGACATAATACAGTTATGATGTGATAATTACATAATACAATTATGATGTAATAATTACGCAATTAATTAATATTAAATTAATTAATAATTAATATTTTGGGACAGGGCCTGGCTCTAACGCCCAGGATGGAGTGCAGCGTGATCTCTTCTAACTGCAGCCTCGACCTCCTGGGCTCAAGCGATCCTCCTACCTCAGCTTCCTGAGTAGCTGGGACCACAGACATGAGCCACCAAGTCGGGCAAGTTTTCAATGTTTTTTTTTTGTAGAAATGGGTTTCACTGTGTTTCCCAGGCTGGTCTCAAAATCCTGAGCTCAAAGGATCTTCCTGCCTTCACCTCCCAAAGCACTGGGATTACAGACCTGAGCCACCGCACCTGGCCTACATAGAACTTTTTACAAGGGACATCAAAACGTGGTGGCTACTGCCAGTAACCCCAGCACTTTGGGAGACAGAGGCGAGTGGATCACCTAAGGTCAGGGGTTCAAGACAAGCCTGGCCAACATGGTGAAACCCGGTCTCTACTAAAAATACAAAAGTTAGCCAGGCGTGGTGGTGTGCACCTGTAGTCACAGTTACTGGGGAGGCTGAGGCACAAGAATTGCTTAAACCTGGGAGGTAGAGGCTGCAATGAGCCGAAATTGTGCTAGTGCACGGCAGCCTGGGTGGCAGAGCAAGTCTCCATCTCACAAAAGCAAACAAGCAAACAAAAAATAAAAAACAAAAGGGACATCAAAAGTGCTTTTGTTCTCGTGTAATAGATTTACTTTATTTTCTTTGTTTCCTCTTCATTTCTTTCTTTACTCTTTTTTTTTGGCAGAATCTCGCGCAGTCACCCAGGCTGGAGTGTAGTGGCATGATCTCAGTTCACTGCAAACTCCGCCTCCTGGCTTCAAGCGATTCTTTTGCCTCAACCTCCCGAGTGTGTGGGTCTACAGGCCCGTGCCACCATGACCAGCTAATTTTTGTACTTTTAGCAGAGATGAGGTTTCACCATGTTGGCCAAGCTGGCCTCGAACTCCTGACCTCAGGTGATCCTCTCACCTTGGCTCCCCCAAAGTGCTGGGATTACAGACATGAGCGACCACACACAGCTAAGATAAATCTTAGTTTTCAAAATTTCTCTTTTAATACATAATCATGGGAGAGGAGGCTGCAATGCCAAATGGAGGAGGCAGCAACCGGAGCACACGCATAGCTGGGTGGGCACCATGACTGGGATCTCCACCATTGAGGCAGTGAAGCGCAAGATCCAGGTTCTGCGGCAGCAGGCAGATGATGCAGAGGAGCGAGCCGAGCGCCTCCAGCGAGAAGCTAAGGGAGAAATGTGGGCCCAGGAACAGGCTGAGGCTGAGGTGGCCTCCTTGAATGGTAGGATCCAGCTTGTTGAAGAGGAGCTGGACTGTGCTGAGGAGCGCCTGGCCTCAGCACTGCAAGAGCTGGAAGAAGCGGAAAAAACTGCTGAGGAGAGTGAGAGAGGTATAAAGGTTATTGAAAACTGGACTTTACAAATTGAAGAAAAGATGGAACTCCAGGAAATCCAACTCAAAGAAGCTAAGCACATTGCAGAAGAGGCAGATAGGAAGTATGGAGGTGACTCATAAGTTGGTGATCATTGAAGGAGACATGGAAGGCACAGAAGAACGAGCTGAGCTGGCAGAGTCGCGTTGCCGGGAGATGGATGAGCAGATCAGACTGACACACCAGAACCTGAAGTGTCTTGAGTGTAGCTGAAGAAAAGTACTCTCAAAAAGAAGACAAATGTGAGGAAGAGGTGAAGATTCTTACTGATAATCTCAAGGAGGCAGAGACCTGTGCCGAGTTTGCTAAGAGATCAGTAGCCAAACTCAAAAGACAATTGATGACTTGGAAGATAAAGTGAAATGCACCAAAGAGGAACACCTCTGTACACAAAGGATGCGGGACCAGACTCTGCTTGACCTGAATGAGATGTAGAATGCCCCAGTCCCCCCTGCTGCTGCTCCTTCCTCTGACCCTGACTCTGCCTGAGGCCAGCCTGCCCGAAGCTGACCTTTACCTGAGGGCTGATCTTTGACTGGAAGGCTGCTTTCTCTTTGCACTGCCCCCTCCTCTCCTGCCTCTTTTTCACCAAACTTTCTCTGCCTTTTCCCGGAGATTCTAGCTAGGCTAGAGGCTGAGCACCTTTGGAAACAACATTTAAGGGAATGTAAGCATAATGCATAATGTCTGTAAAAAGCATGTTGTGATTAAAAAAAAATACATAATCACTTCTGAAAGATGCCTTTGTCACATCCTATAATCAGCTGACATCATTTTTTTTCTGTACATTCTCTAGTTATTTTCCTGTTGACCTCAGAATTTGTTAGATTTTTTAAAAAACAATTTCAAAATAGTTTCTGTTTGAAACTAGTTGCGTCCGGTTGAGATCGAGGTCTGTATGCTTTCCAGTCTTTATTATTTATTGGAAACCTTTAGTACCTAATATAGAAGGTTGATTGTGTCAGTGTGTACCTTTTACCTTAACATCAAAATGTAGTTTAACCAGTTAGTCTGTTTTTCAGTTTTCTTTCCTTATGTCATCTGTGAACATCTTGAGCTGTGATCTATTAAGTGCATGCTTCCCTCTGGGCCCTCTGGTCCCTTCTGGACTAATGTTGAAAGATGGGATGGATTGGCATGGAACTGTTGGGGTGGCCACACCCAACACCAGGCTGTCAGGGCTACGAAGTCCGGCGGAGTCAAAGGAATGAGAAAAGACAAGTTAAGGATTCATAAGGTGGGTCCAGGGGGCCAACGCTAGTATGGAGGCTGCAAAAGACCTGAGCTCTGGAAGCCCACACTATTTATTGGTGGTCAAACAAAGAAGCAGGTGGTGTGACTGTGGGGGTTGAAAGGAAGTGGTGCATCCAGCACATGATCTACAGGTGTGTGGTTTAGCATTTATATGGAACACGTTCTGTACTTGAGATCACGGGGAACATGTTCTTCTAGTTTAAGATATAATCATTTTATGAGCCTGGGAGTGGTAGAAGCAAGGAACCAGCAAGTGTGGGCACATTCCAGAAGCCACAAGGGGTTTTATGCCCTGAGCCCTGGATTCCATCCAAGCCATGAGGCATTTTATGCCCTGGGCTTAGATTATGGTGCAGCAGGGCAACCTTCCACCCTTTGGCACAGAGCTTGGTGTTCCAAAGGCCACAAGGCGTTTTAACCCTGGACCCCAGCATGTTCCAAGTCTCTTTTTATATTATATCAGACTAGCAAGCCCTGTCTCAGGTTTTCCCCAACACGGAATGCTATTCTAAAAGTGCCCATGTATTTTTTTTTTTTTGACATGGTGTTTCACTCTTGTTGTTCAGGCTAGAGTGCAATGATGCGATCTAGGCTCACTACAACCTCTGCCGCCTGGGTTCAAGTGATTCTCCTGCCTCAGCCTCCCGAGTACCTGGGATTACAGGCACCCGCCACCACACCTGGCTAAATTTTTGGATTTTTAGTAGAGACGGGGTTTCACCATGTTGGCCAGGTTCGTCTCAAACTCCTGACCTTGGGTGATCTACCTGCCTCTACCTCCCACAGTGCTGAGATTACAGGCATGATCCATTGCACCTGGCCACCCATGTATTCTTTTTTTTTTTTGAGACGGAGTCTCGCTGTGTCTCCCAGGCTGGAGTGCAGTGGCGTGATCTCGGCTCACTGCAAGCTCCGCCTCCCGGGTTCACGCCATTCTCCCGCCTCAGCCTCCCAAGTAGCTGAGACTACAGGCGCCCGCCACCACGCCCGGCTAGTTTTTTGTATTTTTAGTAGAGACGGGGTTTCACCGTGTTAGCCAGGATAGTCTCGATCTCCTGACCTCGTGATCCACCCGCCTCGGCCTCCCAAAGTGCTGGGATTACAGGCTTGAGCCACCGCGCCCGGCCTCACCCATGTATTTTGATTGAAAAAATTTGTATTCTTGATTGAAAAAATTTGCTTATGTCTTAGTTCTACAGCTGACCTTCTTTTCACCGTTTTCAAGGTCAATAGCTGTGTGTTCACACTTCTGCATTTTATAACTGTAAGTGTGATTTTCTTGTAAGGAAGAATTAAATGTCGGGAATCAGTGGCATCAGAACCTTGCAAAAGAAGTTTCTTTAGCCCAGGCATGTGAAAGATGCTTCTCTAACTTTCAAGGATAGGGGTGTTAAAGACCAACCCTTCCCATTAGCCCTTCCAGGCCCCCATGTAAGAATTCAGGCACACCTTCTCACTCATCTCAGACCTTCTCAGGGTAACTTAGTGAAAATTTCTCTTTCTCTGAGCCCCAATGAGCCTCCCTGCAACTTGGAGATGAAGGGCTAGACCAGAAAAGCTCAATTCGAGTGACCCTGGCCCCTGAAATGATTGGCAAAATAGAGTGTGTGTCTGGGTGTGGCTTTTCTTCTGGGAGAGGGGAGTGACCAGTTGTAATTAGAATTTTAAATGGGATGCAGTACCCTAAAAATGACAAATAAATAAAACACAAAAGAATGGAAGAAACAGAGGTATAGACTCAAACACAGAGACCATCTTCGGGGCCTTTCTCTGTATGAGGATATCACAGTGAAATCTAAAGCAGTCATGTCAGTCCCTGGCAGGGAACCCTCCACCAGCTTCCCGTGTTCCCCAGGACAAAAGCCCAATTCCTCACTGTGGCTCCACAGCCCTGTGTCCAGGGCCCCTGCCAGTGTCCAGCCTCCTCCTGGGAGCTTGCCCCTGTCTCCTGAATCCCTCTGCCCCAGTCACATTTGCTTTCTCTTTTCCCAAACATCAAAACCCTTCCTGTCTCAGGTCATTGTCCCTGCTCTTACCCTACGTCCCTAAATGATCACGACACTGTCCCTTTCCTCCTCGTTCAGGTCTAGGCTCAGAGCTGTCTCTCATGCCCTCCCACCCCCATCTGGAGTTCCCTCTGCCCATCAGTCTCTCTTTTTTTTTTTTTTTTTTTTTTTTGAGACGGAGTCTGGCTGTGTCACCCAGGCTGAAGTGCAGTGGCCAGATCTCAGCTCACTGCAAGCTCTGCCTCCCGGGTTTACGCCATTCTCCTGCCTCAGCCTCCCGAGTAGCTGGGACTACAGGCGCCCGCCACCTCACCCGGCTAGTTTTTTTGTATTTTTTTTTTTTCAGTAGAGACAGGGTTTCACCGTGTTAGCCAGGATGGTCTCGATCTTCTGACCTTGTGATCTGCCCGTCTCGGCCTCCCAAAGTGCTGGGATTACAGGCTTGAGCCACCACGCCCGGCCTGCCCTTCAGTCTCTATCACGTTACTCAGGTTTTTTTTATCTCTGCATCAGTCACATCAGAAACGCTTTTTTTTTTTCTTTCTTTTTTTTTTTTTTTGAGACAGAGTCTCACTCTATTGCCCAGGCTGTGAGTGCAGTCTGATGATCTTGGCTCACTGTGACCTCTGTTTCCTGGGTTCAAGTGATTCTTGTGCCTCAGCAACCCATGTAGCTGAGATTGCAGGTGTGCACCACCACACCCAGCTAATTATTGTATTTTTATTTTTATTTTATTTTTGAGTCTCACACTGTCACCCAGGCTGAAGTGCAGTGGCATGATCTTGGCTCACTGCAACCACCACCTCCTGAGTTGAAGCGATTCCCCTGCCTCAGCCTCCTGAGTAGCTGGGAGTACAGACACCCACCAAGCCCAGTTACTTTTTGTATTTTTAGTACAGATGGGGTTTCACCACGTTGACCAGGCTGATCTCTGACTTCTGATCTCAAGTAATCCACCTTCCTTGGCCTTCCAGAGTGCTAGTATTACAGGCATAAGCCACCGTGCCTGGTTCAATTTTTGTGTTTTTAGTAGAGACAGGGTTTCATCGTGTTGGCCAGAGTGGTCTCGAACTCCTGAGCTCAAGCGATCCTCACACCTCAGCCTCCTAAATAGCTGGGACCACAGACACAGACGAGCACAACCATGCCTGGCTAAATTTTAGTATTTTTGGTAGAGATGGGGTTTCACCACGTTGCCCAGGTTGGTCTCAAACTCCTGAGCTCAAGAGATCTACGCACTTTGGCCTCCCAGAGTGCTGGGATGACAGGCGTGAGCCACCGCACCCAGCACCTGCATGGGGTTTGGTCAGGTCTGGTCTGTGCCCTGAAGGGGAGCTCATTCCAGCCCAGGTTCCCACTGCTGCAGCGTGTGTGGGGGCTTCTCCAGGAGGGGAGCGGGAGTTTTCCTGTAGGAGTTTATCATCCCTGGTGCGGTGGGCAGCAGAGGGGACTGTATTTCCTCAGGGTGAGGTGTCCTTCGTATGTGTTGTTATGTTACAGGGAGGGGGTATGTTGATTCTGAGCAATAAGCAACATATTTTTAACATTCAGGATTGATTTCTAAACACTCTTGGTCCATGAGGAAGAAACCCGGAAGAGGAAGAGGAAAGCAGAGGAGTCAGGGATGGCTCCTCCTCAGGTGAGATGATGTTCTCGGTGGATTGTTCTGTCTCCTTCCTTTCAAAAACGCTGGGCCTTGGAGTTGGGAATCTTCTCTGAGTCTGAAGCGTCCTGTCTGACAGGTTTGCTCACACTCACCCATGCCTTCCCTCAGTCCCTCTCATCTCGCTTAGATTCCATCTCTCGTGACCCAGTGACATGAACTTGGGAAGAGGCGGCACTGGGCATGGGCCTGGGAAGGGCTCACACCAGACATGGATGGAGACGGGGTGAGGGTCCCATGGTGTCAGTGCTGCTGGGCAGCCTGGATTGTTCAGGGGCCACATCTGGATGCTCTGTCAGCTCTCTGTGGACCAGGATTAGAGCAACTGCCAATGGAAGTCATGTATTCATGTGCACAAAGTACCTGGTACATTCTAGAAAAGGTGCCCATTATGGGGAAATCTTTTCTCCCTGATTTTATACTACATTTTTAGGTAATTGAGTGAGTTACTGCGTTTCTGATTCCAAAAAAATCTTTTTTTTTTTTTTTTTTTTTTTTTTTTTTGAGACGGAGTCTCGCTCTGTCGGCCAGGCTGGAGTGCAGTGGCGCGATCTCGGCTCACTGCAAACTCCGCCTCCCGGGTTCACGCCATTCTCCTGCCTCAGCCTCCCGAGTAGCTGGGACTACAGGCGCCCACAACCGCGCCCGGCTAATTTTTTGTATTTTTAGTAGAGACGGGGTTTCACCGTGGTCTCGATCTCCTGACCTTGTGATCCGCCCGCCTCGGCCTCCCAAAGTGCTGGGATTACAGGCGTGAGCCACCGCGCCCAGCCCAAAAAAATCTTAATAATTAGAATGGAAAGTTCATACACAGACATGAATGATACAAGGTGTTTTACTCCATCATTAAGAATAGGAAATCTACCTAAATAATAGCAGGCGATTCATTAAACCATTCTTAGTGCATTAAGCTCATGGAGTCTGTGGTTTCATTAAACATGGTTATAACTTGTATTATCATTATTATTGTGATAATATTATTATATTTTAAATATATGTAGTCTTGCTCTGTCACCCAGGCTGAAGTGCAGCGGCATGATCTTGGCTCACGGCAACCTCCACCTTCCAGGTTCAAGTGATTCTCTTGCCTCAGCCTCCCAATTAGCTGGGATTATAAGCACGCATCACCATGCCCAGCTAGTTTTCTGGTATTTTTATTAGTGACGAATATCACCATGTTGGCCAGGCTGGTCTCAAACTCCTAACCTCAGGTGATCTGCCCGCCTCAGCCTCCCAGAGTGCTGAGATTACAGGCACGAGCCACTGTTCCCAGCCCCACCAATTATTATTAAATACATATTTTTATATTTAAACATCACATGATGAATATATTTGTTTTGTGGTAAAACTCCAAGCAAAGCTGCAGCTTAGACCTTTGGCCATAAAGCATCTCCGTTCCCAGTCACGTCCTCCACCCTCCTTCCAGCTTCACTGGGGAGCCGCTACTGTCAGTTCTGTGCCAGGTGTCAGAGCTAGTCTCGTACTCGTGTATTTCTGCATCGTTACGAGACTTAGAAAAAAATTCTGCAGTAAATTAAAAAAAAAACAATACTTTTTTACAAAAATTAGCCGGGCGTGGTGGCACATGCCTGTAATCCTAGCTACTCAGGAAGCTGAGGCAGAAGAATCACTTGAACCTGGGAGGCAGAAGTTGCAGTGAGCTGAGACTGTGGCACTGCACTCCAGCCTGGGCACAGAGCAAGACTCTGTCTCAAAAAAAAAAAAAAAAAAAAGTTTTTATGTTTATGTTTTCACTTTAGGTTTGGGGCACGCGTGAAGGTTTGTTACACAGGTAAACTAGTGTCATCAGGGTTTGTTGTACAGATTATTTCATCACTCTGGTGTTAAGCCCCGTACCCAATAGTTATTTTTTATTTATTTATTTTTTTGAGACTGAGTTTTGCTCTTGTTGCCCAGGCTGGAGTATAATGACATGATCTCAGCTCACTGTGACCTCCGCCTCCCAGGTTCAAGCAATTCTCCTGCCTCAGCCTCCCAAGTAGCTGAAATTACAGGAGCCTGCTACCACGCCTTGCTAGTTTTTGTATTTTTAGTAGAGACAGGGCTTCACCATGTTGGCCAGGCTGATCTTAAACTCCTGACCTCAAGTGATCCACCCGCCTTGGCCTCCCAAAGTGCTGGGATTACAGGCATGAGCCTCTGCATCCAACCCCAGTATTTATTTTTTCTGCTTCCCACCCTCCACTCTCAAGTAGACCCCAGTGTCTTGTTTTCTTCTTTGTGTTCCAGTAAATATTTTACTTTGATATTTGTTCCTGCTGGTTGTGAATTTACATGTTGTCATGTTAGTAAACATGGCTAGCTTGCTGTTTGGCATCTGCAGTGGAAATGGACTGAATGACAACATGTGGGTCCTTTGCGATTTTTCCCTGTATAAAGAGTGCCATAGTGGTTCCTTCTGTGCACGCCTGCATTCCTACACATATCTGAACATTCCTCCAGGTTGGGCAGTTGAAAGGTTGATTGCTTCCTCTAGGATGAGGCATTTCCTGTTTTCTTACATCCAACAAGATCCCCCCTGCCCGCAGCTGCCAAAGTGTCCTTTTCCAGCAAGATGAGATTCCTCTTCAGTTAAACACAACTTGCTACTTTTTATATTTTTAAACACTTTATATATATACACACACACACACACATAACACACACACACATATACATACACACACACAAATGTATATATTTTGAACAACTTTTACAATCTGAAAATCTGGGGAAAATGACAACCCTTTGTTTTAACATCTAGTTTTTTGTGTGTGTAGGTTTCATTATTTTGTTGATATATACATGTATATATATAATGGATTTTCATCCTTTGAGTAATCTAGTTTTCATGTATTTTCTTTTATTTTGAGACTGGGTCTCACTGTGTTGCCCAGGCTGGAGCACAGTGGCACGATCTTAGCTCACTGCAACTTCCACCCTCAGGCTCAAGCCATCCTCCTGCCTCAGGCTCCCAGGTAGCTGGAACCACAGGTGCCTGCCACCATGCCCGGCTAATTTTTTTTTTTTTTTTGAGATGGAGTCTCTGTTCCCCAGGCTGGAGTGCAGTGGCACTATTTCGGATCACTGCAACCTCTGGCTCCCAGGATCAAGCAATTCTACTGCGTCAGCCTCCCAGGTAGCTGGGATAACAGGCATGTGCAACCGTGCCCAGACAGATTTTAGTTTCTGATCTTTCACTATGGACGTTGTCATCTCTGAAGACATCACTCATACTCTGTCTCATCTAGATACTGAATGTCACTTGATGTGTCAATAAAAGTTTCTGGGCCGGGCATGGTGGATCACGCCTGTAATTCCAGCACTTTGAGAGTCTGCGGCAGGCGGATCACAAGGTCAGGAGTTTGAGGCCAATATGGTGAAACCCCGTTTCTACTAAAAATAGAAAAATTAACTGGTCATAGTGGTGCACACCTGTAATTTCAGCTACTCAGGAGGCTAAGGCAAGAGAATCGCTTGATCCTGGGAGGTGGAGGTGGCAGTGCACCGAGAACACGCCACTGCACTCCAGCCTGGGCACTCAGTGAGACTCTACCTGAAAAAAAAAAAGTATAATAAAACACAACTGAGAAGACAAAACGTGGTGGAAAATCCCTCACTCAGATTTGTCAGAACATTCACTGCAATTAATCCCTGCTTTCCCCCTCTCTCCTCTTCTCATTTTCTGTAAAGATAAGAACTCCTCCCATAACCATTTGCTTAAAATGTGTTTTCATTCCAGGGTCTGTTGACATTCAGGGATGTGGCCATAGAATTCTCTCAGGAGGAGTGGAAATGCCTGGACCCTGCTCAGAGGACTCTATACAGAGAGGTGATGGTGGAGAATTATAGGAACCTGGTCTCCCTGGGTGAGGATAACTTCCCTGCTGGGGGTGTGCCCTTGTGTATCTTTGTATTTTCTCTTTTTTTTAGATACAGTGTCTTGCTCTCTCCCCCAGGATGGAGTGCAATGGTGGGATCAGGGCTTGCTGCAGTCTTGAATTCCTGGGCTCAAGTGATTGTCCCACCTCAGCCTCCCCCAGTAGCTGGTATAGGTGCATGCCACCATGCCGGGCTACTTTTTTAGTTTAGTTTTTTGTGTTTTTTTGTTTTTTGTTTTTGTTTTTGTTTTTGTTTTTACAGACAGGTGCTTGCTGTATTGTTGAAGTTGGTCTTGATCTCCTGGGCTCAAGAGATCTTTCTCGGCCTCCCTAGTAGCTGGGATTACAGGCGCCAACCCCCATAACTAATTATTGGCTTTTATTTTTTAAATTTTTGCATATGTGTGTCCTTAAGGCCAATATGAGTCTTCTGCAGAGAACACGTAGTTGGTTCCTGTTGATTGAGCCAGTCTTTGCCTTCTGAGTGCAGAGTTAAATATTTGCATTTGAAGTATTCCTGATGGAGAAGACCTTACCATTGCCTTTCTGTTACTTATTATCTGTATTTCTTGTAGGTTTTTTTTTTTGTTCTTCATTTCTCATTTACTACTTTTTGTGTTTAATTGCTTTTTTGTGTAGACATGTTTGGCTCCCTTCTTATTTACCTTTTTGTTTGTTTGTTTATGATGGAGTCTCACTCTATCGCCCAGGCTACAGGGCAGTGGCGTCATCTTGGGTCACTGCAACTGGCTCCGCCTCTCCAGCTCAACCGATCCTTGTGCCCCAGTGGCTCACGCCTGTAATCCCAGCACTTTGGGAGGCTGAGGCGGGGAAATCACCTGAGGTCAGGAGTTCAAAACCAGCCTGGCTAACATGGCAAAACTCCGTCTCTACTAAAAATACAAAAATTAGCTGGACACGGTGGTGGGCGCCTGTAATCCTGCTACTCAAGAGGCTGACGCAGGAGAGTCGCCTGAACCTGGGAGGCGGAGGTTGCAGTGAGCTGAGATTGTGCCACTGCACTCCAACCTGGGCGACAGAACAAGACTGTGTCTCAAAAAAAAAAAAAAAAAATTGCATAACCTGCAAAAACTAATTTTTCTCCACCAGAACTCTTTGTTTATGTCAGAATTATTTCTGTGTATGTTGCGTTTTCATCAACATATACGTATATTGTGTTTTCATGTTTTCTTCTAAATAACAGGAAAAAAAGTTGAATTATGAAGAAAAGGTGTACTTATAACAGTTTCTGTATCTGTCCTTTTATTTGCCTATTAATTGATTGATTGATTGATTGATGAGACGAAGTTTTGTTCTTTTCGCCCATGCTGCAGTGCAATGACACAATCTTGGGTCACTCCAACCTCCAACTCCCAGGTTTAAGTGATTCTCCTGCCTCAGTCCCCCAAGTAGATGGGACTACAGGCACGTGTCACCACACCCGGCTAATTTTTTTTTTTTTTTGTAGAGGCGGAGTCGGGGTTTCACTGTGTTAGCCAGGATGGTCTTGATCTCCTGACCTCGTGATCCTCCTGCCTCAGCCTCCCAAAGTGCTGGGATTACAGACGTAAATCACCGTGCCCAGCTGGCCTCAAAGTTTTTAAAACATGTTATTGCTATTAGATGGCTTCAAGTATTGCAAGATTTATAGTACAGGCTCTAAACTTCCTTTGCTTAATAAGATTTGTCAACCTTCGGTGATGTTGATGATGAGATGCTTCCTTTCGTGTCCCAGTCATTTCACTGTCCTCTCAGAAATACCTTCGACTGACCAGCCAAGGTGGGTCATGCCTCTAATCCCAGCAGTTTGGAATGCCGAGGTGGGCAAATCACTTGAAGTCAGGAGTTTGAGACCAGTCTGGCCAACATGGTGAAATCTCAAATCTACTAAATACGAAAAATTGGCCAGGTATAGTGGTTCACGCCTGTAATCCCAGCAGTTTGGGAGGCCAAGATGGGCAGATCACCTGAGTTCAGGAGTTTGAGACCAGCCTGGCCAACATGGTGAAACCCCGTCTCTACTAAAAGTACAAAAATTAGCTGGGCGTGGTGGCGCCCGGCCCTTATCCCAAGTACTGGAGAGGCTGAGGCAGGAGAATCACTTGAATCCGGCAGGTGAAGGGTTGCAGTGAGCCAAGATTCCCCCACTGCACTCCAGTCCAGGCGACAAAGACAGACTCTGGGCTAAGGCGGGAGAATCTCTACATTCCAGCCTGGGTGATAGAGTGTGACTCGGTCTCAAAAACGAACAAAAAAAGAAATAAACTGGGAGGCTTCAGACACAGAAAATTATTTCTCATGAATTTGGAAAGTGGGAAATCCAAGAGCAAGGTGCCAGCCACATTGTTCCTGGTGATGGCCTTCTTCATGGTTTAGCCCAGCCATCTTCCTGCCGTGTCCTGACATGGTGGAAAGAAGAACAGGAAATGAGCTCTTTAATATGTCTTTTTATAAAAGCACTGGTCCTGCTCACGGTAGTCAACACCCATGACCAAATTCTCTCAGAGGCCCCATCTGCAGGAACATCCTATTGGAGAATAAGAAATCCAAACATGGCTTTTGGCCAAGAAGAACATTCATGAAAAGCATCATATTGTTTTTACTGTGCATCTTGTCATATACAATGTTTTCGTTGATCTCAGTTTATAAATTTTCCCAGTGCACATTCTATGTTTTATATTTTATGCTAGTGAACTAGATAACTAAGGGCAATGCATGTATTTAGAATTGCTGTATTTCCTGGCTGTTTCATAATTGTAGCTGTGACATCATAATTGCACCCTCTGACACTGTTAGTCAATTCTTTTTTTTTTTTTGAGACGAAGTCTCACCCTTTCACTCAGGCTGGAGGGCAATGGTGCGATCTTGGCTCACTACAACCTTGGCCTACTAGGTTCAAACGGTGCTCCTGCCTTAGCCTCCCAAGTAGCTGAGATTACAGGTGCATGCCACCATGCCCAGCTAATTTTTTTGTATTTTTAGTAAAGTTAGGGATTCACCATGTTGGCCAGGCTACTCTCGAAATCCTGACCTCATGATCTGCCCGCCTCGATCTCACAAAGTGCTGGGATTACAGGCATGAGCCACCGCGCCCTGCCGTTAGTTAATTCCTATTCCTTATAATGCTGTGTATTTTTTTAACCTCATACATCAGAAGGTAGTGATCTTAACATGTATTTCAGTTCTTTTTCTTTGAGACGGAGTCTCGCTTTGTCGCCCAGGCTGGAGTGCAGTGGCCGGATCTCAGCTCACTGCAAGCTCCGCCTCCCAGGTTTACGCCATTCTCCTGCCTCAGCCTCCCCAGTAGCTGGGACTACAGGCGCCCACCACCTCGCCTGGCTAGTTTTTTGTATTTTTTAGTAGAGACGGGGTTTCACTATGTTAGCCAGGATGGTCTCGATCTCCTGACCTCGTGATCCGCCCGTCTCGGCCTCCCAAAGTGCTGGGATTACAGGCTTGAGCCACCACGCCTGGCTGTATTTCGGTTCTTATATTGTGTGCTGGTGGTAAATAGAAGTTGTGGCTTTTTTGTTAACAGGGAATTGTTTAGAATTCTGCAGGTTGTATAAATGTACTTGTTATTTGCTTGCTAGTTTTATGGGTTACAATATTTTACTAACTAATTTTTATGATTGTACATAAGGCTTTTCGGTATGTGGTATGCAACATAACTGACACAGTCCACTAGGTAATGTCACTTTTTTTTTTTTTTTTTTTTGAGATGGAGTTTCACTCTTTTGCCCAGGCCTGAGTGCAATGGCGTGATCTTGGCTCGCTGCAACCTCTGCCTCCTGCGTTCAAGTGATTCTTCTGCCTCAGCCTTCCCGAGTAGCGGGGATTACAGGCATGAGCCACCACACCCAGCTAATTTTGTATTCTTAGTAGAGATGGAGTTTCTCCATGTTTGTCAGGCTGGTCTCAAAGTCCTGACCTCAGGTGATCCACCTGCCTCGGCCTCCCAAAGTGCTAGGATTACAGGTGTGAGCCACCACGCCTGGCATTAATGTCACATTAACTAGGGCACTGTGGCTCATGCCTGCAATCCCAGGACTTTGGGAAGCAGAGGCGCGTGGATCATTGAGGTCAAAAGTTCGAGGCCAGCCTGGCCAAAATGGTGAAACCCTGTATCTACTAAAATTACAAAAATTAGCCAAGCATGCTGGCACATCCCTGTAATCCCAGGTACTCAGGAGGCTGAGGCAAGAGAATGGCTTCAACCCAAAAGGTGGAGGTTGCAGTGAGCCGAGATCAGGCCATGGCACTCCAGCCCGTTGTGACAAAGTGAAACTTCATCTCAAAAATATAAAAATACAAATTTTTTTTTTTTTAAAAAGTCGCAATATGCCTTTTCTGCATAGATATAGGTAATTTTATGACAGTTATTCAGGAAAATATTGTATTAACTTTTTTTTTTTTTTTGAGATAAAGTCTCACTTTTTTACCCAGGCTGAAGTACAGTGTTGCAATCTCAGCTCAGTGCAACCTCTGCCTCTTGGGTTCAAGCCATTCTTGTGCCTCAGCCTCCTGAGTAGCTGGGACTACAGACGTAGGCCACCACGCCTGGCTAAATTTTGTAATATTTTCTTATCTTTTCAGTGCTATGATTGTTTGACAATATAGAATTTCCATTGATTTTGGTTATCTTTACATGAGCTTGTTGTGGATTGTTTACCAATATCGTATATCCTGTGGTCCTTTAGCATTTATTTGTATACAGTAAATATGCTGTAAATATGAAGAATATATACTTTTTATTGATTGACAGTGATATGTTTTTTGCAAACTGTTAGACATTTTAGGGTCACAGTGGAAAAATACTTCTTACTTTAGGCTTTCACACATTTGTGCCCTGTCAGTGTTTTGTCGTGATACTAGGAAATAGGCTTCCGTAGAAATTATTTGAAGCACATGTAATAGCCCTTTATTTATTAAAGAATCTTACTCCTTTTGTGTTCTTAAACTTTGAAGATCATGTTTGGGAAGTTTAAAATAAGTATTGTTTTTTGTGTCATATTTACACATTTTAGTATGCCTTATCGTCTGTACACCTACTGGTGTTTATATTTTGTAGATATCTCTTCCAAATGCATGATGGAGTTCTTGTCAACTGCACAAAGCAATAGAGAAGTGATCCACACAGGAACATTGGAAAGACATGAAAGTCATCACATTGGAGACTTTTGCTTTCAGGAAATTGAGAAAGATATTCATAACTTCGAGTTTCAGTGGCAAGAAGATGAAAGAAATAGCCATGAAGCACCCATGACAAAAATCAAAAAGTTGACAGGTAGTACAGACCGATATGATCAAAGGCATGCTGGAAACAAGCCTATTAAAGATCAGCTTGGATCAAGCTTTCATTCACATCTGCCTGAACTGCACGTATTTGAGACTGAAGGGAAAATTGATAATCAAGTCGAGAAGTCTATCAACGATGCTTCCTCAGTTTCAACATCTCAAATAATTTCTTGTAGACCCAAAACCTATGTTTCTGATAACTATGGGAATAATTTCCTGAATTCTTCATTACTCACACAAAAACAGGAGGTACACATGAGAGAAAAGTCTTTCCAATGTAATGAGAGTGGCAAAGCCTTTAATTGTAGCTCACTCTTAAGGAAACATCAGATAATCCATTTAGGAGAGATACAATATAAATGTGATATATGTGGCAAGGTCTTTAATCGGAAGCGAAACCTTACATGCCATCGTAGATGTCACACTGGTGAGAAACCTCACAGGTGTAATGAGTGTGGCAAGTCCTTCAGCCAGACGTATTCCCTTACTTGCCATCGTAGACTTCATACTGGAGAGAAACCTTACAAATGTGAAGAATGTGACAAAGCTTTCAGTTTCAAATCAAACCTTAAAAGACATAGGAGAATTCATGCTGGAGAGAAACCATACAAGTGTAATGAATGTGGCAAGAACTTTAGTCAGACGTCATCCCTTACATGCCATCGTAGACTTCATACTGGAGAGAAACCTTACAAGTGTAATGAGTGTGGCAAGACCTTTAGTCGAAAGTCATCCCTTACATGCCATCATAGACTCCATACTGGAGAGAAACCTTACAAGTGTAATGAGTGTGGCAAGACCTTCAGTCAGGAGTTAACCCTTAAATGCCATCGTAGACTTCATACTGGAGAGAAACCTTACAAGTGTAATGAATGTGGCAAAGTTTTTAATAAAAAAGCGAACCTTGCACGTCATCATAGACTTCATACTGGAGAGAAACCCTACAAGTGTACTGAGTGTGTCAAGACATTCAGTCGAAATTCAGCCCTCGTAATTCATAAGGCTATTCATATTGGAGAGAAAGGTTACAAATGTAATGAATGTGGCAAGACGTTCAGTCGAATTTCAGCCCTTGTAATTCATACAGCAGTTCATACTGGAGAGAAACCTTACAAGTGTAATGAATGTGGTAAGGGTTTTAATCGAAAAGCACACCTTGTATGCCATCATAGACTTCATACTGGAGAGAAACCCTACAAGTGTAATGAATGTGGCAAGGTTTTTAATCGAAAAACACACCTTGCACATCATCATAGGCTTCATACTGGAGATAAACCTTACAAGTGTAATGAATGTGGCAAGGTTTTTAATCAAAAAGCACACCTTGCACGTCATCATAGACTTCATACGGGAGAGAAACCTTACAAGTGTAATGAATGTGGCAAGGTTTTTAATCAAAAAGCAAACCTTGCACGTCATCATAGACTTCATACTGGAGAGAAACCTTACAAGTTTAATGAGTATGGCAAAGTTTTTAATTGAAAAACAAAGCTTGCACATCATAATACAATTCATACTGGAAAGAAACCTTACAAGTGCAGTGAGTGTGGCAAGACCTTCCGTCACAATTCAGTCCTTGTAATTCATAATTCATACTGGAGAGAAACCTTACAAGTGTAATGAATGTTGCAAAATTTTTAATCAAAAAGCAAATCTTGCATGTCATCATAAACTTCATAGTGGAGAGAAACCTTAGAAATGTGAAGCATGTGACCAAGTTTACAGTAGCAAATCAAGCCTCGAAAGACAGGAGAATTCATACTGGAGAGAAAGCTTACAAAGGTGAAGAATGTGACAAAGTTTTCAGTCACAAGTCAAACTATGAAAGACATAAAAGAATTCATACTGGAGAGAAACCATAAAATTGTAAGAGTTTGTGTCAAGGCTTTCGGGCGTGATTCACACCTGGTACAACATACTAGAATTTATACTGGAGAGAAACCTTACAAGCGTAATAAGACTGGCAGAGCCTTGATGAGCAGTCAACACTTATTCACCATCAGGCAATCCATGATGAAGGAGACTTTACTAATGTAATGATTGTCACCAAGGCTTCAGTAAGGCTACAACCACTGCAAATCGTTGGAGAACCCATAATGAAGAGAGATCATACAAGTGTAATAATTGGCAAATTTTTCAGACATCGTCCATACCTTGCAATTCATTGGCAAACACATACTGGAGAGAAACCTTACAAATGTCATGATTGAGGCAGGGCCTTCAGTCACGCTTCATCATATGCAAAACATAGGAGAATTCATATAGGAGAGAAACCTCACAAGTGTGATGATTGTGGCAAAGCCTTTATTTCACATTCACACCTCATTACACATCAGAGAATCCATACTGGACAGAAATCTTACAAATGGCATCAGTGTGACAAGGTTTTCAGGCAGACTTCACTCCTTGCAGAACATCAGAAAATTCATTTTTGAGGTAATTGTTCCAAATGCAACGAGTATAGCAAACCATCAAGCATTAATTGACATTAAAGTGTTTATGTTAAGAGGACTGGGCCAGCCGCAGTGTCTCACGCCTGTAATCCCAGCATTTTGGGAGGCCAAGGCAGGTAGATCACTTGAGGTCAGGAGTTTCAGATCAGTCTGGCCAACAGACATGAGCCACTTTTCCCAGTTTGCTTTTTGTTCTTTAACAAAAACTGATAGGGATTTTTTTTTTTTTTTTTTTTTTTTTTTTTTTTTTTGAGACGGAGTCTCGCTCTGCCGCCCAGGCTGGAGTGCAGTGGCCGGATCTTAGCTCACTGCAAGCTCCGCCTCCCGGGTTCACGCCATTCTCCTGCCTCAGCCTCCCCAGTAGCTGGGACTACAGGCGCCCGCCACCTCGCCCGGCTAGTTTTTTGTATTTTTTTTAGTAGAGACGGTGTTTCACCGTGTCAGCCAGGATGGTCTCGATCTCCTGACCTCGTGATCCGCCCGCCTCGGCCTCCCAAAGTGCTGGGATTACAGGCTTGAGCCACCGCGCCCGGCCACTGATAGGGATTTTTATGGATATTGTGTTGAATCTAAATCACATTGGGTTATATAATTATTTAACAACATTAATTTTTCCAAACCATCAATATGGGTTATATCTCTGTATATGTTTTTAATCATATTGATCTATGTTTGTAGATATCAAGGTACAAACTTCTCACCTTTTTACTTTTATTCCTAAGTATTTCTTACTTTAAGTTCTCTAGCAAATGGAAGTGTTTTTCAATTTTGTTTTAAAATTGTTTATTGTTAATGTATGGAAATTCAACTAATTTTTGGTGCTGATATTGTGTTGTGCAGATACACTGAATGTGTTTGTTAGTTCCAGTAGTATTTTGACTGACTCTTTGTGATTTTCTACACAGAAGATCGTGTCGTGTCATCTACAAACAAATATAATTTGACTTCTTTCTTTCTGATTTGGATGGGTTTGATTTCTTTTGCTATTTCATTGCTCTGGCTAGGACAGCCAGTATTGATTGAATAGAAGGGGTGAGAGCATTCTTGCATCATGTGAGATCCTAAAGGAAAAGCATTCCATGTTCCTTGCTTTGTTATCTACTCATTGGTCATTTCATGGATGGTCTTTCTATTGTTGAAGTAAATTTTCTTTTCTATCTATTTTGTTTAGGATTTCCATGATTAGTGGATGTTGAATTTTGTGAAATACTTTTTCTCCATCTATTGAGATGATGTGGTTTTCATCTTTCATTTTGTTCAAGTGAAATATCACATTGATTTGCTTGAATATGTTGAACCATCCTTGCATTCCAGAAATAAGTGGCACTTGAATATCTACAATCCTTTCTATATCCTCTTGAATACAGTTTGCTAGTACAAGGGGTCTTCAAGAAGTTCATGGAAAAATACGTATTTTGCATATTATGAGAAAAATCATGTGTGAATTTCCCAGTTTTTGCACCAAAATAAACTGGTACAAATCTGTTATGTCTGAAGAGGATCTAGTTTGAGGCACTCAGAAAGATAAGACATGAGTTTGAAAAGAGACTCTATCTGCTGGACACAGTGGCTCACGCCTGTAATCCCAGCACTTTGGGAGGCTGAGGCAGGCAGATCACCTGAGATCCAGAGTTTGAGACCAGCCTTGCCAACACGGAGAAACACTGTCTCTACTAAAAATACAAAATTAGCCAGGTGTGGTGGCGCACGCCTGTAGTCCCAGCTACTCTGGAGGCTGAGGCAGGAGAATGGCTTGAACCCGGGAGGCAGAGATTGCTGTGAGCCAAGGTTGCGCCATTGCACTCCAGCCTGGTCAACAAGAGCGAAACTCCGTCTCCAAAAAAAAAAGAAACTCTATCAAAGCAATATAAATCCTGCTAAAATTAAAACAAAAAGAAGCATCAAATTTACAATGAGACCAGATGCAGTGGCTCAGGCCTGTAATCCCAGCACTTTCAGAGGCCGAGACAGGTGGGTCACATGAGCCCAGGTATTCAAGACCAGCCTGGGCAACATGGTGAAATCCCCTTGTCTACAAAAAATACAAACATTAGCTGGGCACGGTGGCATACGCATGCAGGGCCAGCTGCTGTTGAGTCTGCGGTGGGAGGATGGCTCTAGCCTGGGAGGTCAAGGCTGCAGTGAGCTGTGATCATGCCACTGCACTGTAGCATGGGTGATGGAGCAAGATACTGGCTCAAAAAAAGAATATTTATGGTAAGGTTTGGGTAGAGGAATAATGAAATCATTGATGCTTTATGAAAAGTTTATGGAGACAATGTGTAAAATAAATCAACAGTTTGTAAATGGATAACTTATTTTGAGTTGGGACAAGACAATGTTGAAGGTGATGCATGGAGTGGCAGGCACAGCATCCACATCAGTTTTTTTGTTTGTTTTTGTTTTGTTTTGTTTTGTTTTTGAGATGGTGTCTCGCTCTCTCTCCCAGGCTGGAATGCAGTGGCGCGATCTCGGCTCACTGCAACCTCTGCCTCCCAGGTTCAAGTGATTCTCCTGTCTCTGCCTCCTTAGTAGCTGGAACTACAGGCGCCCGCCACCACATCAGCTAATTTTTGTATTTTTAGTAAGACAGGGTTTCACCATATTGGCAAGGCTGGTCTTGAACTCTTGACCTCGCGATCCGCCCGCCTTAGCCTCCCAAAGTGCGGGAATTACAGGTGTGAGCCACCGTGCCCCCTCCACATCAGTTTAAAAAAAAAAAAAAAATCTTGTTTGTGCCACAATGAAGAGGACTGACAGGTAACAGCAGAAACAATAATCAGGAGTTCAAGAACAGGCTGATTAACATGGTGAAAACCCATCTCTACTAAAAATGCAAAAATTAGCTGGGTGTGGTGGCAGGTGCCTATAATCCCAGTTACTTAGAAGGCTGAGGCCAGAGAATCACTTGAACCCGGGAGGCGGAGGTTGCAGTGAGCCAAGATGGTGTCATTGCACTCCAGCCTGGGCTACAAGAGCAAAACTTTGTCTCAAAAAAAAAAAAAAAAAAAAAAAAAAAAAAAACATGTCAAGCCCCTTCTCTTCCTGTCCCCTCTCATGGTGTGTACTTGACCCCGCTTCTTGCCAGATCTTCTCACAGGACTTTCAGGATTAAGCGATTCCTGGCCAAGAAACAAAAGCAAAATTGTTCCATTCCCCAGTGGATTCAGATGAAAACTGATAAGAAAATCCGGTACAACTTTAAAAGAAGACACTGGAGAAGAGCCAAGCTGGGTTTATAAGGAATTGCACATGAGATGACACACATATTTATGCTGTCTGAGCATCACTATCACGTTACCATATCAAGCTGAAAATGTCACCACTGTCTGGAGAGTTGGACATGTTTTATTGGGAATATATTTTTTCTCTCTGAATCTGTTATGAATCCATTGGTTGGCTGGGTTCAGTAATAAATATGTGAGACTTTTCATTTCAAAATAAAAAAGGGAAACTATGTAATTCCATAGAGTACCTTAATTTCTGTATTGCCTTTTTTTTTTTTTTTTTTTTTTTTTTGAGATCGAGACTCCACTGGGTTCAGTGGATCACACCTGTGGTCCTGGCACTTTGGGAGGCTGAGGTGGGAAGATTGCTTGAGACCAGGAGTCTCCTGGGAATCTTCTCATCTCCTAACCCAATTCATGACAGACCCTTGGACTTTACTGTTATGGAAAATCTATATAAAGCAGTATCAGTGTGTCAAAGCATTAGGTCTGTCACAAGCTCGTGAAAGGAAAATAAAAATTACTAAGCCAAAGAGAAAGGTCAGCCTGAGAACTGCATCAGAAAAACCTGCCTCCCATTTTATTCCTAAATGAGATAGCTACAAAGATGAAAATAAAGCTACATAGAGGCCGGGCGAGGTGGCTCACACCTGTAATCCCAGCACTTTTGGAAGCTGAAGCGGGTGGATCACTTGAGGTTGGGACTTTGAGACCAGCCTGACTAACATGGAGATACCCTGTCTCCACTAAAAATACAAAAATTAGCGGGGTGCGGTGGTGTGCGCCTGTAATCCCAGCTACTTGGGAGGCTGAGGCAAGAGAATTGCTTGAGCCCAGGAGGCAGAGCTTGCAGTGAGCCGAGATCACACCACTGCACTCCAGCCTGGATGACAGAGTGAGACTCCATCTCAAAAAAAAAAAAAAAAATTCCAGCAAATATCGTATGTTATAATAATTCTTTGCCACAGAAGAGAATCAGTTATGGTAAGTTCCTACCTGGAAATCAAAATGTGAGTTTTTTTTTTTTTTTTGAGATGGAGTCTCGCTCTGTTGCCCAGGCTGGAGTGCAGTGGCCGGATCTCAGCTCACTGCAAGCTCCGCCTCCCGGGTTCACACCATTCTCCTGCCTCAGCCTCCCGAGTAGCTGGGACCACAGGCGCCGCCACCTCGCCCGGCTAATTTTTTGTGTTTTTAGTGAGACGGGGTTTCGCCGTGTTAGCCAGGATGGTCTCGATCTCCTGACCTTGTGATCCGCCCGTCTCGGCCTCCCAAAGTGCTGGGATTACAGGCTTGAGCCACCGCGCCCGGCCCAAAATGTGAGTTTCTACTCTGTCTTCAGGTGCCTTCCCAGAGATGCTCCCAAATTTTCATACAGCAGTTGGGATATGGGATGGACTGACCCCTGCGAAAAGCCCATATAAAGCAGTTCCCATTTCCCTCCACAAACTGCGGGCTGCCAGTGAAAACTACCTTAGATTTTCGTGCAAATCCCATTATTTTCTGGCCTTCTACAGGATGACAGGGGCCTAGAGGAGGCAGTACTGGGTGGAGTTACCTGGGTGCGCATTTGTTGGAATGTGACATTTTATGGCTACTCGAAAGGTCTGTTATCAGTTGTCTGTCTTGGGGAGAATGTGCAGTCACCATGGTGCAATAATCCTCT